TATGCAACCAAATTCAAATGATTTATCAAAAAGTAATTGCAAATATTGTTGTAGTTGTTTTCCACCATATATGATGTTTTCTGCATTAATGCCAAAGTAATCAACTGCTTTATTTCTATTTAGACCAGATATTGCTTTTTCCATTTCTTTATTTGTAATTGGGCTATGTTTGAAACGATCTTTGCATATGTCTATTATAATTTTAGCTTCATTTTCAATTAAATCAAGGTATTCAGTGTCATAATTTGGATTTGGTATTTTCTTTGCAAGTTGATGGAAATGTGTACTCCAGCCATCTATTATATCTTCATTATAAAATATCTTATCATCAACATTTAATTGGTCGATAAATTTTGATAATTTACCTCTTTGATTTTTAATGATCTTGTGAAACATTTTTCGATCGGATGTTCTAGCATCAATCAATTTTTGGCGTTCACATATCCTCCGTTTAGCAACTTCCAATCTACATTCTTTTCTTAAAGCATGTGTTGTCTGTTTTTTATTTTTCAAATATAAGTTATCGGTCTCTTTCGGTCTACCATTAATTTTCCATTTATAAAATGCAATCTTCTTGTTTTTGAGAGCGTCTTTAATTTCTTCATTCATAACTTGCAGTTTTTGGTCTTTTTCTGCCAATTTTTCTAGTTGGGACCAAAGCTTGAGTAGACTGAGTAATGATTTCATTAAGTTGAGTAAATGCATTAGTTATGTCTTCAACAGTTTTTATTTCTGAGTTCATATTTGAGAGTTTGTAGTTGATGTTGTTTTCATATTTTTCCTTATCTATTTTATCCCATTTAACCTTTGTTTTGAAGATGCCATTGATTGATTTTTGCTGCTTTAAATAATGACGGTGTTGAAGGACCATTTTAATTGGATAATGGTCTGAGACATTGGCACCTATGTCTAGTTTCTTGATTTCAAGAACAGAATGTTTATATGTATTCTGGTATAAAAAGTAATCAATGGCGGTGGTATCATGGCCATTGGAGTGTATAAATGTGCTGCCAGTATATTTCGTTTCTAAAGAATGGTCTTCCATAAATTCATTGATAGAGGCCTTTCTTTGTGAAGATGGACCATTTATAATATCTTCATTAAGATCACCACCTATAATAATTTGATGAGTAAGTTTGTAGGTGCAGACTATTTCATGTAGAAGAGCTATACAGTCTTGAAATTCATTTATATGGTCAGAAGTACCTTTACAAGGCAAATAAACAGAAAGGATGATGAGATTGGGTTCACCACATATTTCAATTCCTTGTATCCTCTCATTTCCTATGGTTAAAGGTGTTATAAGAGTGTCTAAATCTTTTTTCCATAAAATAGCAGTGCCACCATAGCCCCTAGGCATTTGAATAGGGGGAATTGGGTCCATTGTATCTACAGCTTTGCCAACTCCAGTAAAATTATCATTGATTTCATTTAGTAAAGGTAATTGACTATCAAATAAACAATGTTCTTGTAAAAGAAAAATGTCGACATCACTTTCTGTTTCTTTAAAAAAAGGACCACAGGTTAAGACATTTTTACAGTTAAAATCTAAAATATTCAGAGTCTCATATGTACACGTATTTACATCTCTCTCATTATTTACAAGTTCAGTTCTTTGTATCTGCTGGGGTTGAGGCTGGCCTGGTGTAAAAAATGAGTTTGTTGAGTAGTTGGGTGATAATATAGTGGTTGTCCAATAATAGGAAGAGAATGGTCAAAATTTTGAGTTTGAGATTGGTTTGTACAATTTCCACTATTCTGAGAATTTCTGTTCACTTTCTCTAAGTTGTAATTTAACTTTGGCAGCTGGCTATTGTCACAATACTTTATTTGCTGAGTATTCACAGGTTTTGAGTTTATTGTAGACGTGTGAATATTTGTGGGTTGAATTTCAATAAGATTGTCTGTGCAGATGTTTTGGGCATACTCTGTATTTTGGTATGACGAAGAGTCTTCATTGTATCCTTGGTGCCAATTTTGGTAATAGTTATATTCAGGTTGAGTATCTCTATATTGTCCTGAATAGCCATTGTTGTAATTCCAATAATTATCAGAGTAGTTCATTCTTTCATGGTTGTACTGATGATGTGTACTAGTTTCAATATTGTGTTCTGAATGATCACTGTCTGATTCTAATTTGTTCAATTCTTTATCAATTTTACTAAGTACAAATTTTGTGACCCTTTTTCTCATGCCAATAATCAGTTCATCTTCCTCGTCTTTGTTTTTAGATTGATAATTTGTTGGATTAGAGTTGTTTCTTAGAGAATGTATAGGTATTTGCTCTATTCTGGTCTGTAAAGTTTTGATTGTATTTTCAAGCTCAATGTTTCTTATTTCAGCTTTATGTAATCTATCCATTATCTTTGTTTTTTGTTTCATATCTTCGTTGAGCATTGCTTCCTTAATTTTCAATTGCTCCTCTTTCTTTTTCAATTTTTGTTCTAGAGTTTGTAATTCTTTCATCTTACTTGATGTTTGAGTTTCATTTTGAATGTTAGCATGGTTAGGATTTGATTGTATATCTAAATTGGCTGTGTTTTCGGAAGAGCCTACTGAAAATGTTAATATATTTGGTGCAGGAGCACAATTGTTGATGTCTAAATTATGAAGATTATGAGATGTTAGTTTCACTTCAGTTTGATGAAATTTTTTTGAGTTTGTGACAGTATCTTGTTCTTCAAGGCCAATACATGAGAAACATTGGTCAGTTGTTTTGTCTAAACAATGAGTATGGAATGTCATATCACAGTTGACACATTTATTTTTTCTATTTTATCCAGAGTATCATTGCACCCATTACATTGTATTTCTCCTAGTAATAGAGTTTTTGCTAAAGTAGAAGTTCCTGATGAGAGTAAGTTTTTATTTCTGACAATTTCTGAGCTATTGGGTAAAGTTATACACCTGGATGGCGATTTAACTGACAAGTTGGAACAATTTTTACGGATGTAGTTTTGTTCATCTTTTTCAATGGTTTGTATATCTTTTTCAGAGAGTTTGTCACATGAGTAGTGCACCCAACGGGGTGTATCTTTTGTCTTTATATGGAAAGTATATTGTACTTTGTTGCTCTGTCTATCAGTAGCAATTGTTTTGGTAAATTCATGCAGATTGGATTCTCCGTAGAATTTTTCACAGGCATGGATAAAGAGTTCAAAGGAAACAGCATCTAACTTAGCCGTCACACCACCCCTTGTATTTTCATATTCAATTTCTGATCTTTTAGTAGACTCTAGTTTTTTCTTTAATGATTTTTCAATACTTAATGTGTAGTTATTCTCATATTCATTTGGACATGAAATTTTACTGTCACTTTTGGTTTTTCTCAAAGATTTTCTTACTAGATCCATTATTGTTGGTTGTTACGTTGTATACCCAGGTTTATATTACCAATGAATCCTGTATGGTAGGACTGTTGCAACACAGATAACTAGACACTGTGGAAGGTCCCACCCTAGCCTAGCTATACTGTGTCAACTGTACCTGTGGAAGGTCCCACCCTGACCGCTAGCCAACAGCCTACCAACAGTCGGTCTTGGCTTTATGCGCATTTTTTCTTAGCCAAACTCGGGCTAGATTGATATCTGGGTGGATCCCGTCTCTATATACTAGTAGACTGAAATTATACTGGTCACCTGCCTTCCGGCTTGAGTCTTTTTTTGAAGTATTTACAGGGTGTAATAAATCAATTGAAAATCCTGGTGTTCTTGTTTCTAAGGTGTTATTTATATATCTGATATGATCATTAATCTGAAGAATATGTTTGACAAGAATGATGTCCTGATCAATAAACTGTTTAACGTCGGGATGTGAGTGACAAGAGTTCCAATCATATATTGAGTAGGGTGGTATTTCAAAAAAAGTTAATTTACAAGCTGGGTGGTTCTTAAGAATTTCAGCAATTTTCTGGAAATTATTTGTCACAGATTGAACAATTTCTTCGGGATCTTGTCTCAGTTTAATATAGGGATGGTTGTATTCAGTGAGATCGCATGTGCCAACCCATATGTAGAGTGAAATGTTGCCTATTAGTGCTATTTCTGTTTCTAAGTTATCACGTAACCACTTCAGACCTTGTTTTGAGTTACGGCCAGATTTGTCCCACCATCTGATACTGGTTTCGACAGGTAAGCTACACTGTGCTTGTAAATATTTCCCCTTACTATCTGTGAGAACTACTGGAGTGAGTATTTGTACTCCGTTTGGTGGCTCAAAACTTTTTCTCAAATATTTAAGAAGCTTTTTATCCGTCATTAGTAATTGGTTACACAGGTATAAGAGTATATATGGAAAGCTGAGGTGCAGATAGCGAGTTAGGTTTAAGGTAAAGTCAAGCGTAAGCACAAACACACACAGATAAAAGTATATTTGGTGTCGATAAAATTAAATTACGGCTATATTCAAGTAATAAAATGTTTCTAGAAGGAAATATCTAAGAACTATCTATATGCTAAAAGTTCTAATGTAGCTAGGGCCTCACACTGATACAGGATCACAGCTTCGAAGCTTTTGGATATCTTCGCAGTAAAAGTTTCTGGATTTAAGACTTTACTATTAAAATGTCAAGTATTATATTTACATTAAGATAAATTATTAAGTCAAATCTTAGAGTAGTGTGTGGACTGCAAAAACTTCTTTCTCAGCCAAGGGCCGCCATGTTTTTTCACTTTTTATTTTTTGGCGGGTCACATGTAAAAAGTTAATCTTTCTAAAAATCGGAGAAATACGTTTTTTAAAAGGTAAGATTGATCACGCCAGTGTTATTATGCAATGTTATTGATATGTTCCTGTAACAAATAAACGCCAACACCACAAGTAATTCTTCAAATTGGAGCACAATATAAAAAGACGTCCGTCACCATCAATACCAAAACCATATATCTCGAAATGACCTTGACATCGACCAATCAGATCTCTAGTTTTATTTCATTCAATAACAATAACAACAACTTGATTTGACAAGCATGAAGCTCATTTACGAGATAAACGGAATAGTGTTAACAAGAAAACAAATGAGCATACATTTAATTAAGATGATTTAAATAATCACAATCATCTCAGACAAAAACGAATAAAATGATTAATAATAATTACCTTTGTATTATCCAGGGGAGTTTCCAGTATATTTGAAAGAAGGGGCGTAGAATGCAATGTTTGCCTTTGTTTGTCTAAAAAACATAAAATAATTGTGAAATGCACTAATGTAACGGTTCCTGACTTGGAGCATGTATGTTTTATAGTTAAAATGTCAGGGTTTGATATTTTTATGGCGAATTCTCTCCATTAATTGTCTATGGTATATTAAAATGATTGGATGGATCTTAACAGCAGTAGACCAATAATGAGAAATTCCAAATTCTATGGTATAGGGCGTTACTTTACATTTCAATAGTCCTAGGCCAGGATTTTATGAACGGGAGGCGTAATTCCGGTTGCCCTGGTATAGGGTCCATGGGGAAAGTCAGAAGCTCCTGGATTTCAACAATTTAGCATCAAATAATGAAGTATTATAACAGACTCCATGATAGACAAATTGGTGAAAATAGTCTGCCTTCGGATCATTCAAATTATGTATTGATTAACATGTGGATATCAAATATTTGGAAGAAGTTGTAAATTCAGTTAAAAGGTTATATGAAATGGGCATGAAAAATAAAAAATAAATCTTTAACTTGAATTTTTGGGTTGTTGTCTTAACAAGATGACATTAAAACTGTTTCAGTTCACATGATCCTTTAGATAAAAAATAAATGGGGAATGTGTCCATGGGACACAGATGATGCCCCCGCTTGCATATAACGTTATAAAGGACATAACTCAAGAACTGTAAAAGTGATGCTACTCAAATTTGTGCTTGATCTTATGTTAGAGAACAGAAACGAAAAATTCATTAATTTTTCCATTTGTAAAGGGCATAACTCTAGAACGGTAAAAGTGACTTCCCCAAAATTAAAACGTACGTACAGACGGACAAGGGTAAAACTTAATGCCCCCTCCGCTACGGGGGGGCATAAAAAAATGCAACTGATAAGTTATTGTCTATTTAATATACTAATAAATATGTACAACAAGAGTGCACACGCTGAAATGTCTCGCCTTCTTTACTAATCATTGATATTATGTTGATAGTCCTAAATATAAAGCTTTACTACAACTATCACATACACTTAACATGATCCAAGAAAATGAGGTCAAGGTCATATAAACCATACAAGAAATACATGTACACCTTACAATCATTCAATACACTAAATATAGTTGACCTATTGTTTATAGTTTCTAAGATACAGACTTAACCAAGAAAACTAAACATTGACCAATGAACCAAGAAAATGAGGTCAAGGTCAGATGAACAATGCCAGGCAGACATGTACTACAGCTTGCAATCCTTCCATACAACAAATATAGTTGACCTATTGCTTATAGTATAAGAAAAACAGACCAAAACACAAAAACTTAACACTGAGCAATGAACCGTGAAAATGAGGTCAAGGTCAAATAAAACCTGCAAGACTGACAGGTACATCATAAAATATTTCCATACACCAAATATAGATGACCTATTGCATATAGTATTAGAAAAAAAGACCAAAACTCAAAAACTTAACTTTGACCACTGAACCATGAAAATGAGGTCAAGGTCAGATGACACCTGCCCGCTAGACATGTACAGCTTACAATCATTCCATACACCAAATATAGTAGACCTATGGCATACAGTATAAGAAAAACAGACTAAAACACAAAAACTTAACTATAACCACTGAACCATGAAAATGAGGTCAAGGTCAGATGACACCTGCCAGTTGGACATGTACACCTTACAGTCCTTCCATACACCGAATATACTAGACCTATTGCTTATAGTATCTGAGATATGGACTTGACCACCAAAACTTAACCTTGTTCACTGATCCATGAAATGAGGTCGAGGTCAAGTGAAAACTGTCTGACGGGCATGAGGACCTTGCAAGGTACGCACATACCAAATATAGTTATCCTATTACTTATAATAAGAGAGAATCTAACATTACAAAAAATCTTAACTTTTTTTTCAAGTAGTCACTGAACCATGAAAATGAGGTCAAGGACATTGGACATGTGACTGACAGAAACTTCGTAACATGAGGCATCCATATACAAAGTATGAAGCATCCAGACCTTCCACTTTCTAAAATATAAAGCTTTTAAGAAGTTAGCTAACGCCGCCGCCGCCGTAGCCGCCGCCGCCGGATCACTATCCCTATGTCGAGCTTTCTGCGACAAAAGTCGCAGGCTCGACAAAAAGCATTCAGTAGCTCTTTTAAATTTCTTTCAGTGGCGATTGCAGTCACATGGAGCAATAGTTCCTAATATCGCAGTATTTTTTTTTATTGTGTGGTAATGTGTCAAAATTAATCAGTAAAGGACAAAAAAGACATTTCATCAGTGGTCATTGAATTTTTACACACTGAAAAATACAAGGAGGTGATGCATTTCTTTTGGCAATCAGTATATAATTTTAAAAGGAAGAGTGAAATTTCATATGAGTTAAATATCCATTATTCTCAAAATTGCTGATTTTGTGTAAAAAAAGCAAAGCTTTTCACCAGAATCATGTTTTTTTTAATTTCAAATGATAGTGTTAAAATACATATTAATATAAAAATATTGTTTTTAAAGTAGATAAAATTTTATTCTAGCCATTGTTTACAAGAATTTAGGGGAAAAAAGTTTGTTGATTGACAATTAAAACTGTACAGATCTACCAATATTAGGGGGGATGTTGGATCATAATTGTAAAAACAAAATGAAAAAAACCAACATATTATATCTGTTGACTGTGTATTGTTTTTATCAAGTATAGTACAATATTGATTACGTAATAGTACATATTCTGACAGGTATATAAAATTGAATTTACATATACAATGATTACATACTTTACAAATAAAAATTAAATCTCTTAATTCTTCTTCTTGCTTCCATACAATGGAATAAGCATGCACAGCACAACAAGCTAACTTCAAAGAATACACATCAGTTTGTCATACACAAATGTAATTGTTTTTATTTTGATGTCCTAGATAATGACCTATATAGTTGTAGCTAAGGATTGATGAATGGGAGGTTGGAAGCACCTTACATGTTCTACTGGCATACTATCAGCATCATTTGTGTGAAGGTATTTGTTCAACACAGCAAAAATTTGATTGTTCAAAATCTGGAATTTTCTTATTCTGTCAACCATCTTCTTCAGTTGCTAAAAAAAAATGGAAACAAAATATATCATTTATAATATCACTGACAAATATTTGTGGAAGTAGCATTGTTGTGGTAAACATCTTCAAACATAAACTGTTGTGAATTTTTTCACCATTTCCCTGCACAGCCCCTATGTAAGCAATCATAATGACTGCAGTTTTTAATTCTCTACATTTGTCTACCAGCGCAATTAAAAAAATCTTGGTTTCCCAACAAACCTACCCAGATTTTTGCTGGTGAGTAAGTAGGTAGGTGTTTTTTGGTTTTTTGATTTTTAAAATGTATTTGTCAGACATATAGAAAATATAATACGTGAAAAATTGGCAACCGCACTCAGGGTACTCCTCGTTTGTATTGATGCTATTCATCAAGCTTTGTGTTCACCTTTACTGTGAATTGTACCCTGATATTGATAAGCAGCTTTATACATTTTAATTTTGTTCTTATAAAACATCAGTGCAACCATGCATCCCATAATGACTGATAGGACCTAACACTATTTTAATGTTTAGACGATTAAAGATTGGGATGATCATCTTAAGATGTGATACTTTGATATAATTAAATATAAAAATTCTTCATGTGTATATTGATATATTTATATTAGGGATGTTAACTCGGACAACAATTACTAATCGAGTACTCGTTGATTTTATCGAGCATAACTAGAGTACTCGCTCTGGAATATATCTATACAACACGGAAACATAAAAGACGTATTTTACATTCTGTGGTGTGTTGTTCAACGGACGGAAAACCATCTACATTAGTATCTGGGACAAGGAATTACACACCATTATTAATAGTCGTTTACCTAAAAGTACTAATTAAGTAAAAAAACAATAATATAATCAATAAAATTTAATGAACAACAATTTAAAAACTATAACAAAGAAAAACCATATCAAACAATAGTAGTTGGTATTCGTTAAGAAAACACATGTTATGTTTACAAAGGTGTTAGTAAGGATTAGAAGTTTAACAATTCACTGAGGTCACCAAAGGATGCAACAAATTCATTTTATTTTGAAACATTTTCTTGTCAACTGTTATTGGGAACAGTCAGTTTTGCAACTTTGTAACTTACAGTCTTGCAGACAAAAGTATTTGCTCTGACGGTACCGATGTGACGGAATGGCTAAAACATGTTTAGTTATAAGTGTTAGCCTAGGTATATCCCATGTATTTTTGGAGGCATTTTAAATGACAATTTAACACTATATTCGAAACAAAATGTATTTTATTTACTACTATGATTAATCATTGATGCATATTTAACTTTCCAAAAGAGGTTCTCAAGAAGATCAATTTTATATAAATAAGATAGCAATATTCTAACAGGAAACCTATCAGTCAAGTATCGTTTTGGTTTTTGATTCGCATACTCGAGTACTCGTTGACATCCCTAATTTATATCTATATTCTTCATCAATAGATATTATAACAGATCTGCCATCACCAGGCGTCCAACTGTCAATTTTATGTAATAGTCTTTAACTTTGATCTAGTAAGCATATCTTCTATTATTTTATTTTTGCTATACAAAATAGAACACTTGAAAACATTTTTCGTCAAACTGCAATAAATTTCAGTGTTTCATGTTTTTTTTTATTTTACTTATATATGGGTTATATTTACTTATCAAAACTAAAGGAATATTTTCATTTTCCTTCAATTTTTTGTGCAGTAATAATTCAGTATGGTCAACTGATAAAGCATCAGACATGACCCCTATCTAATAATTTCACTTTGAACAAACTTTGACAAATCAAATGCAGCTCGACATTTTGTAGCTAACTTGCACCAAAACCTTGTCAGAACAAAGTAGTGAAAGACTGCATTCACCTGTGTCAGTAACATCTTCCAATACTTCTTTCCAAATTGATTGTTTTCCAAATGATTACAATTTGTTGTTTACTAAAGTTTTTATTTTTCGAAGACAAGACATCCTGTGGGTGGATATTTTATCATTTCACAAGAAGAGAGGATAATTTTGTCTGCTCTTGACTTGGATCAATAGAAACTTCTCAGCCTTTTTTGATTTTTGTGTAGCTGAAATAGCTGAGTAGTTCAGATTGGATGCCAACACCAATTAAATAAGAAGTCAAAACTTGATGGCTTTTTCTAAAAATTAGAGTTCGGTTAGAATTTTCTTTTTTTAGAAAGGACCCAAAAATTGTTTTGAGTCAGCAGCCATTTTTCTAGTCCGTCGAGGCCAGGGGAAACATTCCTATTTTTTATTTTGGCCCCATTCATAACAGCCTGCTTACAAAGCCCTATTCAAAATGAATTTATTTCAGAATCTTGCAAAATCAAAGAAATATCAACTCATCTAACTTGTTTAAGAACTCCAATTCAAGTGATTTCAGTACTGTGAAAGTACTTTTACTTGTGGGTATCAATTTTTTGTGGTTTGATCAAAAGTTACATGTTCGTGGGTTCTTAAATTCATGGAATTTAGTTTTCTGAGAAAAAAATTTCAGGCCATTAGAAATGAGGATTCTTGAAAATAATAAAATGTTGTTTTATTATAATTTGTGGGACATTGAAAAAAAATAAGGGGTTCATTTTCACTTACTCGTTCGTCTTTCATTACTGACAACATTCATCAATTTTTTAATAATTTAAATAATTTGATTCGTCTATCCTAACAAAATGTCTCAATTGAAGGAAATTGCAAAGTAAATATTTTAATTGTTGCTCACGTGTAATCAGAAGTGATGACACTAATTAACCTGAGATCTAATGATCAACAGATTAACGATCATCAAAGGTGTTGATTGGGCCATAAACATGTCACTTCAAGAAAACAGTTACATTAATAAATGCTACAAATGTACTTTTAATTTTAGCATAAGCTCTTATGAAATAAAACAAAGCAAGCCCAATATGAAATTATAAATTTTTTTTTCGTATGAAAATTATGAGGAGATAAAATGAACACTTCAACACTGCAGATCATCACCGACAGTCTGACTTTCATCGATCAAAAGTAATTTTTCCTAAGAATTAAAAGGTTAAAAGTCATACGGTTTATGTTTTTTTAAAGATTATATAGGTAAAATCCTGTCTTAAGTTGTATATATAGTTCATAGTGCATTTGTTGATATTCCATGTATTATCTAGATTATATGCCCTTATCCAGTGGGTCAAACCTACATGGGGGACAGGTCTTTTTAAATCTTGTATTGGACAACAGTTGTTATATTTCGTTGGACACTTAAATTCTGTGATAAAGCTATTGACAAAAACCACGAAAAAATTGGTACCCCACGAATAAAAGTACTTTCACAGTATTTTGCTTTTACATATTCATGTTATGATGTATAAATACAAACATTCTGCCAGATTTTATTTAAACAGGCAAACTGTAATGTAGTGATAAACCAGTAAACAGCCAGTTTACTTACAATGCCTTTGACATTTTCATCTTTCATGTCTACCCTGTTTACTTTTAGAATATGGTAACTAAAATCTAAAGCTTCAAATCTTCTCTGTTGGGATAACAGTACTATGAGAGCACATCCTGCCCAGTTCAGTCCTTCTCCATACAGTTCCCTGAAAAATTCATACATGAATCTTTAATTATTTAAAAAGAAGTCAATGTTGAAATGGATCAATTTTTAAAAGGTTTCCTAAGTCTATATATGTCATATTGATTACTGGACAGATCTAATGCTACTTGTTTATTTAGTATTCTACAGTAAAAATCATTCTTAATAATAAAAATAACACTTTTTAATATCTCATGAATATTCATAATGACTATCACAGTCTAATAAAATTGTTCACAGGTAATTTACATTGTTGAGTCCATAAATTTAGATTGTTTCAAACAAACAAAAAAGTGGATTCAGTTAATATCTTTTATACACATCAGTGTGTAACATGTCAAGAAAAGATTACACCCATACATAATATTTTTGTGTTTTCCTTTGAAAGTTATAAAGAGTAATTTGTATGCATAAAAACAACACAGTTGCTCCCACTAGTTATTAATAGATGATAACAATTCAAAGAACCATTTAATACAGACTGACTGCCGTGCAGATCAGAAAATTGCTAGTCCAACTCATCTTTAGGAAGTTTCAAATGGTTTACCAAATCATTCCTCAATACAGAAGCTGAGTTAATTGGTATGAAAGTTACAGATCAATGGATGAATGAACAGATAGACAGATGAAAAATATAGACAAAGTAGGGCACCAACAATGTTATTTTAAAATCATTATGCATGGATTATAGGAGGAAACATATTGAAACATGGTGAGCTTATTATGCAAGAAATGAATACAGAAAACCAACTGTTGAAGAAAGTGAATGAAACTCAATACTCACCAATATTCATTATTTTTCAATTTTCATATCACCGACTTATGACCCCGGAGTATATTATTTTTCGACAGGATACCTACTCTATGGTAGGACGTTCTGGTACTCAGGTCAAGTAAGAGTAACTAAAAGAAGTAAAATCAAGCTAACAATCTAGGAAATTTTGAGGAAAAATTAACTGTTTTATTTTTTCAATACATTACAAAATCAGCGGAAAACAGTTAATTTTTGTACCTTGTTGCACTGGTTGTGAGATTAATTTTTTGACTTTTAATTGCTCTTACCTGACTCTGGGGTCAAAAGTCAGTAATATAAAAATTATATTATTTACTTACTCAATTGTGAACTCATTATCTCCGACAGGGATACAGAAGACAAACTGTATGGCACTCCAGAGTCTGTGGAACTCAGTACACTCATCTATATTCATAACACCATTGGCTGGAGGTTGACCTTTCCACAGAGGGTCATCAATAAATTCCCTAATCCTACTGAGGACTACTTCAAACATAGACAGCCCACAACAAAGTCTCTCCCTAGTTAATAAGTCTCCTTCTCCTGCTATTGATACTTGCTGAAACAAACCAATATTGATATTGAATAGATAATCAGACCAAACTGTCTGTTTTCAAGCATTGATTGTCAATGTGAACCTATCCTCTTACAACAAATTTTTCCATTCTACAAAAATTGATTCACTGAGCGCAGCTGGATACGACCGCAGAGGTCCAACCCTGAACAGTTAGGGCAAAAATGGACACAATATTCGCGCTTGATACAGGTCTGAATTTGGATTGTAATTAAATACTTGACACATAATAGGTTTCTGACACAGAATAACTGTGGTTAAAGAACTTAGATTTGGTTATATGATTTGAATTTATATTCAATTTTTTGCTTTTGTGCAATACACTATGCTGTTGCGAATTGACTAATTGACATTTTTAAATAGTAACTTCTAAAAGTAAATTGACATTTCTTTATACATAATTTAAAAGCAGTGTAAGGGAGGTAATCCAAAAACATCATTAACCAGGAAACCCTTGTTTTCCCCCTAATTCCTAAACGTTTCAGCCATAAACCCCCAATGCCAATCCTAACCATCCCTTTGTGGTATGGAAACTTGTGGTATAATTTCAGAGTGATCCATACACCGTTCAAGTTATTGTCTTGAAACTAGAATAAACTGTTTCGCTGAGCAAAGCTGGATACGCCCGCAGAGGTCCAACCCTGAACAGTTGGGACAAAAATGGACACAATATTCAAGCTTGATACAGGTCTGAATTTGGATTGTAATTAAATATTTGACATATTATAGGTTTCTGAATAAATGTAGTCAAAGAACTTGAAATTGGTTATATGAATTGAATTTATATTTAATTAAAGATTTCTTGATGTTGTGCAATACACTGTGCTGTTGCGCAATACTTAGTAAATCTGTTGTCAGACTATAAACAAAAAAGTTCAATTTCTTCTCAATGTCATATTTGAAATTTATGAAAATCAATAGGGAGATTACATCAATAGCTATAAATAATTCACCAAAGTTTCATGAGAACTGCTGAAAGCATTTTTGAGTTATTGTCCAAAAACTGGAAAATCCCCCTTTTTTTAATGAATAAAACCCCATAACTCAGAAATGTAAAATCTAAAATTTATAAAATTCTAAAGGGAGCTTACATCAACAGATATAAACAATTCACCAAAGTTTCATGAGAAATGCTGAAAGCATTTTTTAGTTATTGTCTGAAAACTGGAAAATCCCCCTTTTTTTATGAATAAAACCATGTACCTCGGAAACGTTAAATCTAAAATTCATAAAAATCCAAAAGGGAGCTCATGTCAATAGATATAAACAATTCACCAAAATTTCTTGCAAGTTGGTGAAAGCATTCTTGAGTTATTGCGGTCGTATAAAAATGATGATTCAAAGATGTTCATACAAGAATTAAAATCAAAATATTCATTTTTTAAATTAAAATATCTACTGTACTAAATGCAAATTTATATGACTACAATGAATTTATGTTGCAGTGTGCAATGCATTTTTGATTTACACTTCAATCATATACATGTATATGAATTCTAAATTAATCTGCCATTACAGAAAATAAAACATTCTTCAGTCAAAGTGGAAACATTTTTGAACTATCAAAAGTGATGATGTTTCTGTCATCACTGGTAGGTCAATGTGCATAACTAAAGCTTAAGCACAGTAGTTAAATATTGACAAATTGTCAGTCCCTTTAGTCTCCTTTACCCATACAACCTTAAATTATAAGTTACCTGTTCAGTTCCTATTTTCTCTATGACAGGTACAACCTGTAAAGGTGCATATTTTTGTTCCAGTTTCTTCATCACCACCTTTAATTCTTGCTCCTTTTCTTTTCGACTATCACCCTCTGAAATCATATATAGATATATATCAATGAATCAAAACAAATGAATGATCTAATACTATCAGGGTTCTCTCTAAGGATTTTTGAAGGCGAATCCAGGAACTCATCATTTTTGGCCATGGTGAGTCCAACAGAAAGAAGAAGATATTTTATTGCAACATAATTTATCATTTTAGTCTCCATGACCTAATAGAGCAATGAAATGACATTAAATTCAGATTTCTTTTAAACTTTTGCTATAAAATGATGATATGTGTGTTCAGTTTATACAAAATATTTCAATCTTGATGCATCTTTGGACTCACCAGTTTTGAAAATGGTAAGTCCAGACAGATTTACATGAGTCCAGGACTAATGGACTCACCTTAGTGAGAACCCTGACTATGGGAAAATACATCTTAGACCTGTTAAAAAATTTTCATTGAATAAATGTCTTGAATTCATATGATAATTTGGTATAATACATATGTTTTGATTGGAATAAATAACTTTGGTATAGTGTAAAACTGATTGGTTTTAAAGTTTCTTGATATAATGTTATATTGATTAATTTATTGATTGATTTGTGTTGAACGCCACTTTCAGCACTATTGCTATTTTGTGGCTGTCAGCTTCTATTGGTGGAGGAAGCAGAAGTGGCCACAGAGAACCACTGACCGTGGGTAGGAAAACTAACAATCCTATTCAATTCAAAGTGTTGAAAAGCTAGTGATACAGTAACTCAACGACTTAGATCACCAAGGCCCCTCAATATTTTATATAAATTCCCTATTTTCAAAGTTAGAATAATACTTGGGTACTACAGATAGTATTCTTTGGTCAGTAAAAACAATAATGCAATATTGAGTGTGATGTTGGACATTAATAATCCTTTAAAAAAGTATTGATATACATTTGTCATATATCATTGTATATCTGACACAAAATTATCTTTTGTTCGCATAAAAAATGGTTAACATCTTTACATTGACTATGAATATTTTTGTGTGATATGAACATGAGCGATAGCAAATTCATTTAAATGATTTATAATTATAAACGTAATGAACCTAGATATTACAGATGAACACTTTACTTTTGATTGGTATGAATGGTTTAGGTATGATGTTCTGAAATGGTGCGGCATACTTAGATATAACAGATGAACACTTTACCTTTAATTGGTATGAATGGTTTAGGTATGATGTTTTGAAATGGTGTGGCATACTTAGATATAACAGATGAACACTTTACCTTTAATTGGTATGAATGGTTTAGGTATGATGTTTTGAAATGGTGCTGCATGCTTCAGATCATTGACTTCTTCCTGGGTCTACAAAACACAAAAACATTTATAGAGCTTAATGGATATCATTTTCATTTCCCAAAATGGTAAACTGGTTTGAATATGTTGTTACAAACTATACTCATATAATTATATAAGTTAGTACTTGGGACAATGAATACCAAATGGAAACTTCTTTAATCCGGCCGATATCCACAAGTTTTAAGGGAGATTAATACAGCTTTTGCACATTTTTTTTGCTGTGTTTGCTTTCAGTTTGACTCTCAATATTTTTCATAATGAATGAACAGGTCTTTTGACAAGAAATTTCACATGCAAAATCAACCCATTACAAGGCTGCTATTGTTGTAACACTTTTCTGAGGTTGCAGGCAGCAGAATTTTTTATTTTTCATACTATTCTATTTTTCTCAACTATATGTACTGTCTCTAAAGCGTTTTTGCTTTATTTCTTTTTCTGTATGATATATCAAATTAAAACAAATTGCTTCGCCGTGCATAGCTGGATACGACCACAGAGGTCCAACCCTGAACAGTTGGGGCAAAAAAGGACACAATATTCAAGCTTGATACAGGTCTAAATTTGGATTGTAATTAAATATTTGACACATTATAGGTTTCTGACACAGAATAAATGTAGTCAAAGAACTTGAAATTGGTTATATGATTTGAATTTATATTCAATTGAAGATTTCTTGCTTTTGTGCAATACTTAGTAAATATGTTTTCAGACTATATACAAAGAATTAGCAAAATAAATTGTGACCCCAAATTTTTCTTTGGAAAATTGACAATTTCTTAAATTTTGAGGAAAAAATTTTTTATTCCCCACCACCCCACCCCCCCCCCCCTCCCCCCCCTTTTCCAAATTAATATTTGAAGAAATTTTCTTTTTAATTTCTTAAATCTTGTGGAAAAAAAATGCACCCCCCCAAAAAATTTTTTTTTTACCCCCCCCCCCCCCCCCCCCTCCCCCCACTTTCCAAAAAAAAAAACATTTGAAGACATTTTCTTTTGGTAAAATGTGGTACAATTTAAGAGAAACACAAGTTATTGTCTGAAAACTAGATAAATGCTTGTTTTAGACCCTTTTTGGCCCCTAATTCCTGAACGGTTTGGGCAATTACCCCCAAAATGAATCCCAACCTTCTACTTGTGGTATTAAACTTTGTTGTGGCCTTTAAAAATCAAAAGACAAGAAGGAATAAAACATAATAGCCTTCAACAATAGACAATATTGCATATGCAATATGTTAAGCTCTCTGAAATTGCCTTGAGTATGCATATCAAATAACAAATATTAAAACCAACTTATAAAAAAAAAAATTATAAGAAAATGCCTTATCATTTTGACCTGAATATTTCCTCAAACAATTTGATAAAGTATTAAGATCCTGATTATAGAATTGTATAAATGACACCTTACAGTCTGATGATATGTTTAAACAAATGTGATTGAATGGTCACCAGTAATTACCTTAATTACTTCATGTAGTTTTATATAGAATAAAACAAACAATGCAGGGTTCCATGATGGAAACATAATTCCTTAAATAAATAAAGTATTAATAGAGGGTCAGAACGGTCAAAGGTCTTTCCTTTATCATTTATCATATAGTTAGTTTTATTTTTCTGTCGATAAGAGGTATTTCAGGAACTGAATATCTTCAGGAACTGAATATCACAGCAAAAAGACATTTTTTATCAGTTATTTTTACCAGAGTTATTGCACCTTACATGTTAACAGTGGCCAGATGTTATATTTCACCCTGTCACACCTGTATACCTTGCCCTCCTGGACCACCTAAACTTTCACCTGACTCACCTTCATAAAATCTTGTTAATAAACAAAAATATAAACATAATTAAAATGTTTCATAAAATCTTCTAACACTTTCCCTGACCAGACTCATTTTACAATGAAGAAATAATTGTTTTCTTAATTATAAAGTTGACATGATGCGTGTGCTGTGAATAAAGGAAAGATACCATTCTGAAACTTGGCAGCCTAGTTCCCAGTTGTCTCACATGCTTTATCATTTTGACAGATGAACTGGATATGCAAACATAAGGACGAACTTTATTGATTTCTTGGATTATGGAATCAAGAACTTTGTTTCAGCAACAACACAATTTTAGATCGCTGGAGATAAGATGTTGTGAACACAGTTTATGGTAAGTAAAATAAAAGCAAAACAATTTAAGTTCTTTAAAAAATTCCAGTAATTTTCATCAAATATCTGTAGGGAATCAATAAAAAATAATAAGACTTTCTTAATTCTACGTATACAATTTAGGTCTGAAAGATATTAATTTAAAAATAACTTGCAAGTTAAATAACATTTTTGACTATATCATTATAAATTTATTGCTGGTTGAATTTTCATCAAATTAATCTAACTGCGGTAAATTAATAGTTGAAATCATCAACAGTTTATTTGCTAATACCGTTATCTTTTATTACATTTTTCAATGTTTTCAAATGAAAATTTTATTTATGGATAAATGGCACTAAATCCAATTTAAACTAGCTTAAATGCCAAGTAGGCAGAGAAAAAATATAAAGTTATGTTATGTTAACTCCTTATAAAGATTATCAAATAAGAAAACAGGATATTTGACTTCATTTTGTTAATGTTATTCTACATGAATCCAGATAATATTTACTCTGTACAAAACCTTCATAAAACTTTACAAAAATTCTACTTAGCAATTGTAAAATTCTGGTTTAAAGTACAAGATTTAAATAATATCAAATTTCTTTGGATTTTAAAAACAAAAGACAACAATTCTTATGGGGAAACAAAATGGTAAAGTTTCAGGGAAAATGTTTGGTTTTAACAAATGGATAAAAGATGGTATTATATGTATTACTGATATCAATGAACAGAATGGAAGCATTTCTGAAGACATAATATCTAATAAAGTATCTTCAAAGTTCAATCTAATATTTGAAATTTCAAAACTAAAATATGGTATTCCAACTATAACCACAACTATCATATTCCTCATTAAGACAATTCAGAGTAAATAACCTTTTGATAGTCTTTAATATCCATAAAGTTTCTTTACCTTAATTATTATCATTTCTGTCATTATGTATTCATTTTTCAAACAGTCTAAACATCTTTTATTATTTAAATTAGGCAAACTATTTGCACAATTTACTTCACATAGATTTTCAGGATTGCCACATCATTATTTTCAACAGTAGTTACTTATTTTCTGTATTCAACTCTTTGCATTTTGGAATTTATTTTAATGTTATTTTCCATTATTCCATAATTGATGTTTTCATCATTTTACATTCAAACTTTCAACAAAGGGTACACATTTTGTGAAATCAATTTCTCCTGGTGTATTCAAACCAGGTCGTTAATATATCAAACACTGTTTTCAGATGTTTTATTTTGTGCATATCAAATTAAGGAATCATTTTGGGAATTTTCTTTATTTTCTGGGAACTGGAGTTTAAATCATTTTTTTTTTAATTTCTGAAGCTGAGAGACCCTTTTTTTAGTCTTATTTAATCTGACGTCTTGTAATGTTCTCAACCCAGACAATAGAAATATTTTAAAAAGATAAATGTAAAATTGCCTATCATAATAAACTATTTATAAGAAACTACAACGTAATAAAACAAAAAGTTTAAATTTAAACCAAGATTTTTTTTACTGTAAAAACAAATTATTCCATTTCTTTCCTTTTTTATCACTAACATAGTAAGTGCTACTTTCAGCAATGTGAAAATGAAGAATATTTTATTATTCCATAGCCAAAATAACTAAAAAGGATTTTGATGAAGTGCTAAGTATATTTTGGCTTTTGGCTTTAAAAGAATTAAATAATAAAGCTTAATAAAACTTGTGTCCGATCAATTTAAATTATGTTAAAACTACAAATTGCAGGACACAAATCTGTTATATCAACTAAAATCTATACAGTATTTAATTTATATATTTTTTCTTAATTTCAGAATCAACATGGCTGCTTGTAACATCAGTTCAACAGATGTGAATTTTCTTCATACAAACATCTCTAACCTTCAGACTGTAATTCGATGGATGAAGTTTTGTCAAATTGTATACAAAGATCACTGTGACCTAGATTTACTAGAACCAACTCTAACAAGTATTCCCACACTAAAGACAGAAGCCACTCATTCTGACTGTTTCAATACCAAACAACTAGCATCATATTGTATTTGTTTAATACTCAGTGCTGCTATCTTGGTGGCTAATTCTTTGATCATAGCAGCTTTCATAACGAGTAGAAAACTTCTGACCAGCTCAAATTTGCCAATTTTGAGTTTGGCATGTTCTGATCTTCTTACAGGATTAGCATTTATCTATCCCACATCATGGGGTTTGATTATACTTGTGACTGGTTATGACTTTGATATTTTTAAAGTATTGGAATATCTAACAAAGAGACAGAATTATTATCTATGCTTGTTGTTGGATGGTCCTGGGCTCCTGTTTGCATGCATGATGTCGTCAGTTTTAAGTCTCGGTATTATTGCTGGAGAAAGATACATAGCTGTGTTTCATTCTTACAGATATCCTTATTGGATAACAACAAAACGAATGGTACTGGCAATAGTTATACTGTGGATAATTTCATTAATTGTTGCCATTTTGCCATTGTGCGGTTGGAACAATTGGACTGGCAGTTGCCAACTACTGAACATGATGCATTCTGGGTATTTAATCTTTTGGACAATAATATGTTTTATTTGTGGATTTCTAATTTTGTTTGTATATATTCGTATTTTCTGTCTGGCTAGAAAACATCGTCGTCAAATTGAGGCTGCACAAGTTACAAATACAAGCATGAGTAGTCTGCATACATCAACAACTTCATCTTATGAGAGACGAAAATCAAGAAAGTCAGCAACAAAAACTGATACATCCTCATCCATGATTGGAGGGAGACAATCAGAAACAAATGAAAACCAGGCAGTAATAGTCGTGAAAACTATTTCAGGAAATAATGTAGATCCTCGAGGATCTGATACAGAGGAAAATGACAACACTGAAGCATTAAAGTCTGAAATTGGTGACAAACCCGACACAACGGAAAGTAAATATACAACAAAAGAAAGACAACAACCACGATATCTAAAGAAGTCACAAAGTAAAAGTATATTCAACAATATAAATATGAAAGCTATACGGACAACGTCCATGATTCTTGGAGCATTTTACGTTTGCTGGAGTCCATTTTTGATTTACATGTTGGTGTATCATAGTAACACAGACACAAGTTATAACATCACTGCATACTATCTAGCCATTGTTACACAACTCAACTCATTATTTAATCCAATACTTTATGGATTTAGACATTTGGAAATCAAACAGGCAATCAGAAAAATGTTTAAATGTAAAAGATGTTGTCAAAATCAAGCAATTTATTAAATACTTTGTCTGATATACATATTTTGTAATATAATTACTGTTTACTAATAAAACTGCAATATTTGCACATTTAACATGAATCTTAATATAAGATATAATATATTTTTTCTTTTTCTTTTTAATTCCATGGGTGAAATTAGTATAATAATATGTGTTAAGATTGCCAATGAGACAAATAGACCAAATGACATAAATGTTAGCAACTAATAGTTACCACAGTGCCTTCAACAATGAGCAAAACTCATACTATATAGTATTGGCCAGACATGACAATATGTAAAACAATTAAAACGAGAAAAACCAAAGACCTGATTATGTACAAAACAATTAACGAAAATCAAATATGATAGACAGCAAGCAACAACCACTGAATTACAGGCTCCTGACTTGGGAAAGGCACATACAGACAGCATCCAACAACAACCACTGAATTACAGGCTCCTGACTTGGGACAGGCACATACAGACAGCATCCAACTACAACCACTGAATTACAGGCTCCTGACTTGGGACAGGCACATACAGACAGCATCCAACTACAACCACTGAATTACAGGCTCCTGACTTGGGACAGGCACATACAGACAGCATCCAACTACAACCACTGAATTACAGGCTCCTGACTTGGGACAGGCACATACAGACAGCATCCAACTACAACCACTGAATTACAGGCTCCTGACTTGGGACAGGCACATACAGACAGCATCCAACTACAACCACTGAATTGCAGGCTCCTGATTTGGGACAGGCACATACAGACAGCATCCAACTACAACCACTGAATTACAGGCTCCTGACTTGGGACAGGCACATACAGACAGCATCCAACTACAACCACTGAATTACAGGCTCCTGACTTGGGACAGGCACATACAGACAGCATCCAACTACAACCACTGAATTACAGGCTCCTGACTTGGGACAGGCACATACAGACAGCTGCATCCAACTACAACCACTGAATTACAGGCTCCTGACTTGGGACAGGCATATACAGACAGCATCCAACTACAACCACTGAATTACAGGCTCCTGACTTGGGACAGGCATATACAGACAGCATCCAACTACAACCACTGAATTACAGGCTCCTGACTTGGGACAGGCACATACAGACAGCATCCAACTACAACCACTGAATTACAGGCTCCTGACTTGGGACAGGCACATACAGACAGCATCCAACTACAACCACTGAATTACAGGCTCCTGACTTGGGACAGGCACATACAGACAGCATCCAACTACAACCACTGAATTGCAGGCTCCTGATTTGGGACAGGCACATACAGACAGCATCCAACTACAACCACTGAATTACAGGCTCCTGACTTGGGACAGGCACATACAGACAGCATCCAACTACAACCACTGAATTACAGGCTCCTGACTTGGGACAGGCACATACAGACAGCATCCAACTACAACCACTGAATTACAGGCTCCTGACTTGGGACAGGCACATACAGACAGCTGCATCCAACTACAACCACTGAATTACAGGCTCCTGACTTGGGACAGGCATATACAGACAGCATCCAACTACAACCACTGAATTACAGGCTCCTGACTTGGGACAGGCATATACAGACAGCATCCAACTACAACCACTGAATTACAGGCTCCTGACTTGGGACAGGCACATACAGACAGCATCCAACTACAACCACTGAATTACAGGCTCCTGACTTGGGACAGGCACATACAGACAGCATCCAACTACAACAACTGAATTACAGGCTCCTGACTTGGGACAGGCATATACAGAATGTGGGGGTGTTTAACTTGTTTCTATGTTTCACACATTGCCATCCATTATTCAAAACACAATGACAACTAGGTTTCTAAAATCTTTAAATGGGTTAAAATGTACTGTGGAGTTTTCTAAGTATTAATATGAACAAGACAAGAACTGACAGTAGTCTGTTATAGGAAATTGGTATAGCACAAGTTTTAAATACCTGCATACCAATTGTTCATATTTCTATATTTTTTTTAATTTGTTCTTTTTGGTTGTCAAGACAATATTTCATTCAGGCATACTTTTAACAGTTATATAAATAATGAAATCCTGAGGAGAAGAAATTAACAATCATTTGTCTAAGATGAATGGCCCTGTCATTTGCACAGAATGTAATTAATTGCTTTAATATTCAGTAAAGACAGTAAAACAAAAACTTGATCTTTAATTCATTGTTGTACAACAAAAATAAAATAAATGGGGAATGTGTCCATGGGATGCAGATGATGCCCCCACTTGCATATAACGTTATAAAGGGACATAACTAAAGAACGGTAAAAGTGACACTACCCATAATTTGTACTTGATCTGAGTTTTGTGGTAATAAGCATTGTCTATATAAAGTTTCATAACATTTATTAGAGGCAAACTTAAGTTAGAGAACAGAAACGAATATTTCAGCAATTTTTCCATTTGTAAAGGGGCATAACTCTAGAACGATAAAAGTGACCACACCAAAATTCAAGCTTGATATGTGTTTTGTGGTAATAAGCATTGTGTATAAGTTTCATAACATTTGGTTGAGGCAAACTAAAGTTAAAGAACGGAAACCAATTTTGGGACGTACGGACGTACGTATGTACGTATAGATGGGCAAGGGTAAAACTTAATGCCCCTTCCGCTTCTGCGGGGGCATAAAAATCTACTTCATTAAGCTCATTTCTAGGTTCTTATAAGTAATTTCTACTCCAGGAACTGTAATTATTAACAATTAAGTTGAAGCTTGAACAAAAAAAAACCAATAAGTATTGAATAACATAGCAAACATTGCACTAATGCAAACAAGTTTGGACATATAGTTTTCAGGAAATTTTTTATACCAAAGAGCAATTCAGCCAGGAGTTTATCAACTGGAATGGAATCCAAACTTGATTCTAATGGGTAGTATTTGTCAGGTTGATCACAATTGAACGTCCAGACAAATGTTGCATTCTTAATAGAATGAATAACAAAAGGACATACAAAGGTAAAGATAGGTGTCACTACCACATAGTGGAAAGTTATACATTTTTTAATGTAATGATCTAACAGGTAACATAAATGATTTACTTACCAAAGCTTGTTCTATTAACATGAAGAACAGAACACTGTTGCCAACTTCTCTAAAACTTTGAAAAACTTCTGTCCTCAGATCTGGGTACTGTATCATGTCATTTAACTGTGCCTGATAGTATCCCATCACACCTGAAATAAAAGAAATGAACAATAAAATATAAAAAGGTTGCAAAAGGAAATAATTTAAATTTGAGTAATTTCCCTTTGCACCATTTTGGAGGGCTTAACAGTAGATTTTCTTATTTGACTAATACACAAAAGTCTGATAAGAGATCATTACTAGATTGTAGTGATGAATTAAGCAAGCAAAAAGAAATAAAAATTGTTCAGAAAACCCATTTTCTAAAGTCTAGCGGTCATTATATAAGTTGAATTTGGCTGATTTATGAAGGAATTTGCACACTTAGACCTCCAACATGGCAACAAAAGGGAAGTAGCTCTGGCTCAAATTGTGTCAATTGAAACCTATCTTTATGTTTTATCTTCTATAAAAGTGTCATTTTGTCACCTTAATATCTCTACCGTGATACAATTAAATGAAAGCAATCCCTGAAATCTAGAAAGAAACACAGGAAATCTGTAAAATGATTTTTTTACCATTTACATGTATCAACAATTATAATTGACAAGTTCTTGGAATGAAAGAATAAACTTGACACAACACTTAATAAGATTTCAGATATTATTTATTTTAGATTGACATTTTTCTGCATTCTTGACACTTTCTAAAGGATAAAATTATTGATAATTTTTCGTTATGAAATATTAAATTCAGGTACTTCAAGAATGACATCAAAATTCAAAATAAATAGTCTATGTTTAAATTAATTTTTTCCAAAATCGGATGACACTTTTCTTACATTTCTGAAATATTTGTGGACTGTATCTCTATCAAGACATCATTTTGTGAAGGATTTATGTTGTTTACATTGAACTAATTTTATGTTTAATTGATGGTATGTTCTGAATAAAGATATGGTTGTATCTAGAATCTTTGAGTCATATTGTTTTGCCCCTGGCAAGTTTATTTATTCTCTGTTTGTATATGGCCTGTGTTTATTGATGGAGAAGGGTATTCTTTTGTCTATCAGATTTTTTCTTTTTGTTGATCTATACATGCAGGTAGCCACTGTTCAGCACAGGTTGCAACAGTAGTTCCTATACAGATGCAAGGGTTTACAGATGGCCCAATTAGCAAAAAGTAAAATCGACAAATGTTCATAAAGAATAGATGCCATATTAAGACAATCAGTCAAACTGACCCTTTCAAAAAAATTCACATTCCAATAACTTCAACAGTTTCAGCTCATTTTATGTTGAAAATTGTTTATAAAAGTTGACCTACCAGGTGACCCATAGTCATATCTAAGTAGACGACAAACTTGAGGCATAGCTTTAAATAAAGTCTCTGTATATTCCCTCAATGTTCCCTTCAACTGAAAAAGAAAAAACACAACATGAAAATTTCAAATAAATCTCTTTTTTCATCAAACTGTTATCATTTGGTACTCCAAATTCTATAACATATTTGAATGTAAAAGTATAATTATGAAGAAGGTCATTTATGACAAACCACTGATTCAATAATTTCTAATTTCTCGAGAAAAAAAAATCAAATATGAATGTTTGTATAATACATGTATTCAAATGGAAGTAATACTCTAAAGTAAGAAAGATAACTCTAACTTTATATTCAAAATCATATAGTAAGATATCAAATAAGGAAAGCAAATTATTTTGACGAAATAAGGTTCTAATACAATTATTAGGATAAAATAAACACATATTTTCATTTCATACTTGTATTATATAATTGCAAAAAGCACAACACTGAATATCTATAATTTATTATATAGTATTGTTGCAATGGTTACATGGTATCATCAATATATATTCAATGCCAACACCACAATAATAACACAACCTTTTTTATGTAATCTATTCTATTAAAATTAACATATTGTAAAGATACAAGCTTTAAATCAGAAATCTTGCACATTCTTGCATACTGGAACTCTGGATCCTGACCTTAGGAACAGAAATAAATTGATACTATCTTGACACGACAGTCAACTACAGACATATGTTTCCTTCAGAGTCCATACTATAAGATTAATGACATACAACAGATTCACATTACCACCCTTCATTGACTTAATGACCCTGCTCTACCTACCAATGCTTTGACAATTTTGAGTAGTTCCTCTATCACCACAGCTATTCCTTGATATCCTAGAAGCCTGCACATGGATCGGAAATGTTGTGGTCCAACAAAACCATTGTACAAGCTGTATATTGCACTGTAAGAACTGGTTAACGCCTGCAATAAAATAACAGCATAATAAAAATTGGTTAGTGATCATTCATACATTATAAAATAAAAAGAGATGTGACCTATATATCAATTAGACAGAAACCCAATGACAAGAATAACCAAATGACATCTACAATACAATATACAGGCTTCCAACACTAGTTTGGTGTTTGATGTTCTGATGTTGACTGTTACTTCAACTGCTTGTTATAGAGCAGAACAAAATTATACAATTTCAACTAAGGGATTTGTTTTTAAATGTTCTCCCTTTAAGACTTATCTTCTGATGACAGCTAACTTCCTCACATCACATCACAGGCGAGTTTTGCTATGTTGTGGCATTTGCTCTTACTTTTGAAAGATTCTATATCTCTGTGTCAAGTATACTATGTCATATATTGTCTAATGTATTGATCAATATTTTGAACTGTAGAAGACCCAGTTAGTTCAAAACTTGTGTCTTTCTTATCAATCCTAATTTTTCTTGTTTTGTTAAAAAATATGTTTAAAAGTAACAAAATACTGTCAGACATGATGACACCATATACACGTACTGTAAAATGGTTTATTTTACAGAGAAATTAAATTTTGCATTCTCAAAGACCAAATCTGTTCATGATGTTTTATTTTTGCTTTTGTCTCCTGATCATGAGACTCATTTTTCTTAAAGATCAAATTAACTAAAGGGAATATTTCCCAGATTTTATCTTGAACATGAAATTAGGGAAAAATAAACCCCTTGAGAAAATTTCACACTTTACAGTATATATTACCTTTGTTCCCCATATATAAAATGGAGATGGATTTGGTGGTTTTTCTCTCTGACTGGCTGGAGCAAATGGTAACTTGGTTTTCACAAACCTAAAATGTAAAATATAACAAATACTTGTTGTCTATTAATAAAACACGTAAGAACAACATTTGTCAATACTTTTCTTCTTGAGAATCTACTAATTCAAAGGTTCATACTTGCCACTTAAAAATCTGACAGTACATTTTGAAAATATTTATTTAGCTAAATTAATATATTTTTAATTGGAACTCACAGATAAAACATTTCCAGTAGTTACCTTGAAGTAGCAGCATTATAACAGTAGTTTGGTAGGAAATCATAATTCAATTCCCAGAACACATGTAAAGTTATTCTCCCATATGGTGCTGAAACATTATGGTTAGCTTCTCTCATCATGGCATCAAAGTCATTCAAGGTTAAATATTTCCTCATCAACTTGTGTGTCAGTCTATTGCACTCAACTAATCCCTCAAGCTCCTAAAACACAAAAGCCAAGCCAAATTAAATCCAACTAATTTGTGTATGAATATATGTATTGTTCCTGTACCAATACAACACATTCTAGTTTACATTAATAATTTACATAATATCATTATTACTCAGTGCAAGATGTTTCTCTTTACTGTCCTCTTATAGAATAATCCCAAATTGCAGGAAATGTAAATGGTGAAATTTTAAGACAAATCTTTATTCTTAAACTTATAGGAAAAACAACATGTAAATTCATTTATATATACTAACAGCAATGCCAGTAATGTCCCCTGCCTCAAACCTGGATATGGCCACATCCAAAGCTTTCTGAAGGGAGGCATTCACCCTCTGTCCTATCAACTTGTTCAGATCAATGGATCTTCCTAAAATCTGAAATAAACAGAATAAAGGTAATGTTACATTTATTTTGGAAATAATTTACCTTTTCCAAATCAAAAGACATGCATATTTTAAGAATTTTTTTCTTCAAAAAAGCCAAATGATCTTGTTATCATTTAAAAAGGAAAAGACTAACAATGTATATATAATTACCTGGACATGTCTCTGTTTGAGTAATGTCTCATATCTGTTAGCTACAGGATAATTGATCTTCACATTCTGACTGACACACTCGGCTCTAAATCTCTTGTCCAACATAATGCTGAAACAAAGGAAAATAACTAAAAAATACAACAAAGGACTTGTTCTACTCTAAATCTCTTGTCCAACATAATGTTGAAACAAAGGGAAATAACTCAAAAATACAACAAAGGACTTACTCTACTCTAAATCTCTTGTCCAACATAATGTTGAAACAAAGGGAAATAAATTAACATAAACTGTTAACACAGAGATATGTCTCGCTATTTGTTATTTTGATAATGCAAATGTTGAAATTAAAATGGCAATACTTTAACATGTAAGTTATGCAAATATTCAAAGTCAATGAACCATGACTGAAGGTACAGGGCTAAACAATCTCCATGGAAATGAGATGTGCCAATGCTAATACAACTGCAAACCAAATACCATTGACTTTTCATAAGTCGTTCCCTTTAAACAAACCTAAACACAAACATTAACTTGTAAACTATGTAAAAGTTTCAAAGTCAATGAACCATAATTAGGGGGTGGGGTTATAAAATCTCAATGGAAATGAAACTTGCAAATGCCAATACATTTGCATACCGAATATCATTGACTTAACATTAGTGGTTCATCTTGAACTGACCTAATCACAAACCAATACATGTAAACTAAGCAAATGTTTCAAAGTCAATAGACCATGACTGAGGGGTAAGGACCAAATATTCTCCATGGAAATGAGATGTGCTAATGCTTATACAACTGCATACCAATTATCATTGACCTACAACTAACAGTTACCCTTAAACTGACCTAATCACAAACTAATACATGAAAACTAAGCAAAAGTTTCAAAGTCAATAGACCATGAATGAGGGGGCGGGGCCATATAATCTCCATGGAAATGAGATATGCCAATGCTTATACAACTGCATACCAAATATCATTGACCTACCACTAGTGGTTCCCCATAAACTGACCTAATTACAAACTAATACATGTAAACTAAGCAAAATTTCAAAGTCAATAGACCTTGACTGAGGGGGCAGGGCTAACTAATCTCCATGGTAATGAGATGTGCCAATGCTTATACAACTGCATACCAAATATCATTGACCTACCACTAGTGGTTCCCCATAAACTGACCTAATCACAAACTAATACATGTAAACTAAGCAAAGTTTCAAAGTCAATAGACCTTGACTGAGGGGGCGGGGCCAAATAATCTCCATGGTAACGAGATGTGCCAATGCTAATACAACTGCATACCAAATATCATTGACTTACCACTAGTGGTTCCCCATAAACTGACCTAATCACAAACTAATACATGTAAACTAAGCAAAGTTTCAAAGTCAATAGACCTTGACTGAGGGGGCGGGGCCAAATAATCTCCATGGTAATGAGATGTGCCAATGCTAATACAACTGCATACCAAATATCATTGACCTACCACTAGTGGTTCACTATGAACTAGACCTAATCACAAACTAATACATCGTTGACGCCGCCGTCGCCGCCGCAGATGCCGACGCCAGAAACAGCATACCTATGTCTCCCTTTTTGACTCCGTCAAGGTGAGACAAAAATACAATAATTGCCTCATTCTGCTGTACATCACATATCAAATATATAATGCTCAAGTTACAGGAGAAAAACAAATTGTGAAACTGCATCATTCTATTTATTCTTTTAGTATTTTCATTTCAAGTCAAGAAACTGGTGTCTTGATTGGTAATTGGATGTAGTCTACCTCAAAGACAAATGTTTACATCACTGTTAACCAAGTAAACATTTTAGACCTTTTATCTATTTTCATGGTTCAGCTCATTTTCATAAAACTTTTCTCTGGTAACCTTTTCCTCACTTATGTTATCATCAACCTTTTTAGACCCTTTATGTTTTTCCATAGTCCAGCTATGTTAACTAGAGGGTCTCAGGTAATTTTTACATCACCTATTTATTCATCACACTATACAAACTCGTTCTTACCTGCTTGTATTAAAACACAAAAAATAACATTAAAACATAGGAGAACACTCCCAATAATAGTTAATCAACATACCTGCCAGCAAGATGTTTGTAGTAAGCAAATATCTGGTCACTGAGTTTGTATACAAACTGGTCAAAACATAAATTTACCTGTCAAAGAAACATATCAGAAATATTAATTATCTGATTAAACTATTATTCATTTGTTAAAAATTAACAAAAACATTTGAACTTGAGCTTTATAAAAATCGGAAAGTAACATAATTACTTATATACAGATTACACTGAAGTGCGATGGTGGCATTGTGACGTTATCTTGTTGATAGCTACGCTGAAGTGCATTGGTGGTAACTCTGAAGTGTGATGGATTACATAAACTTTATTGTCAATGTTCACAGTACATATCGATGTAAATGATGTAGAAGTCAATTTGTTTGTAAGAAGCAGCTTTTCGTATATTTAAGTAAATTATTGAGAGCATAAACCGTTTAATTCAAAACAGTCATGACATATAGTCACTGCATTTCCAGTCATACAGGAACAAGAAATCTCTCTAGTTATAGCTGCTCTTGTATGGTCCCATCACATATCCCCATCTCAAACACTATGTTTATGTTACAAGACAAAACGACATTGGAAATACAACTTTTTTATTTCTGAAGATCAATCGATTAATTAATGTCTGATGTTCAAATTCAAATCACAAGTATTTCATGCATACTCCACGCTGAAACAAGTTAATAAGGGGCTTATAAACCTTTAACACTAATAGAAAAGGAGATTATGCAACAGAGGGGGAAATTTAGCCTTATATATTTTACCTATGATAGAGAGTGCAGCATTCTTTAAATTTGTAGTAATTATCTTAGATTTTAAACTAGCCATCACACATCAGCGAAAGAATCATCAAACTTCAACAAACACCATTGTACTTCAGCATGACAATGCACTTCAGAGTCCCCATCGCACCTCAGAGTCCTTCATATACATGCTGTGTTTTCTAAATATTTGACAACGGTTGGACCAGAAAGCTAAGATAAAATCCAAATCAACAGTTACATAAACATTTCTTGAAACATGAAAATCTGCTTAGAAGCATGATACCAAGGGATACTTCAGTTAAGGAAAAAATATTGTGCTATGATCAACAGTCCATGGACATTAGTTATTATTTAGTAGCAAACTGGCTGTATTTGGCTTACCTCTGCCTCCACTTCATCATAGAGGAACTGCTGTCGGAACATAGTCAAGGCATAGTTAGCACTGTCATTGTACAGATCTAGAGGGTACAGGATATATCTAAAATACAACAAAATATCTAGAGGAACTGGTGTTATAATATAGCTAATGATGCAGTTTAGTAATGTACTTACAAAGATATAGGGGATATATAATGTTTCTAACATACAAAATATGTACGAAGAGAAAAGTTGTTTACCAAACATAACCTAGTTGTAATTTTTAGCACAGTCATTATACCAATCTAAGATATAATCAAATAACACAAAATAATCTGAATCTGGTCAAATATAAAGATTTACAGAGTCTTGAATATAAAAATATCCAACTTTAAAGGCAGCAGTAGGGGTAGTTTTACTGCCACCATATTTATTATTAAAAATTATTCATAACAAACATGTAATCTCGTACAAGTAATGACAATGATTTTCAAAAACTTTTACATTGGTATTAATGGAAGGATGGATGAATATATTTACAATATATCAGTAATTTACATATGAATGACAATTTTTTTTACATCAGATACATACAATTTAAATACCGGTACTGCTTTTACTACTTCACTCATTGAAAAAAAACCTTGTACAAAACTCTAAATCGAAAGAAAAAAAAAGTATAAAATGTTCTATAAATATGAAGTGATCAGTTTAACTTTGTTAAGATTCTGATCTAAAACATAAAACTTATGTACTCACTCCATCATTGAAGGTTCCTTTGTCTCCAGTATGTGGTCTGTTAAAATCCATGGCATTGACATTTCTATTGGAAACTACAACAAACAGTTATTATTTATACAGAATGTCATCTTGTTACCTTACTTTAAAATAATACAAATAAAAAAGTAGTATTCTCTAAAAAAAGTTCAGGAAAATTAAATATGTTTTGGTTTACATTGTTAATATATATTCAGTGTACATATGTGCACAGACTGTTAACAGATTACATTAATGAAATGTGGATTGGTGACTGAATATTACAGCTCACTCTGATATAATAGAAGCAGGACTTCAGTGAATAATATTCATTTATAATACATTTATACTGTGGATTCATTTATTTTCGTGGTTATCAATTTTCGTGGATTGAGGAAAACTTGCATTTTCGTGGATATTTGATTTCGTGGATTTGCCAATCTCTGTATACAAAGCCTATAGAAAATTTGTAATTTGTTGAACATTTGAATTCGTGGTTCACCTGTACCCACGAAAATTGGTATCCAACGAATAATAATGAATCCACAGTATATATGCAATTTACAAAAGTTTCTACGTCATTTGGTCTCTCTGGTGGAGAGTTGTCTCATTGGCAACCATACAACATCTTATAAGTACATTTGTACATGTGCATTGTAAAAAAAATGGTTGGTAACAGGACATACCTGAATCCTCCTGCCCATTGTCATTTCTAAGAAGAATTCTCTGTACCATAACTGAGATAAATCACAGCAGTTGTGTAGAGATTCTGAAAATACAAAAATAAAGGAATTTAAAAAAAACTGAAAGCTAGGAAAATTTAAAGCAAAATATTTAACATTTATCTAACAATAGAATCATAAGCTCAGCTAATCTTATTAAATTGGAAGCTTCTTAAACAACCATTGGTTTTCTACATAGATTTTATAAAAATGACATCACATTGAAATTCACAAAATGATTTAATAAAACTTTTATGTTGTCTGTCAATAATGTTCCTTGTACAATTGATACCAGTTTCAATTGACATTCAAGCATCTGGTTACAGAAATATAAAATTGTGAGGGAAAACATATTAAATACTTATCAAATGTAGCTATAAAAGATTTTTTTCCACTGACAAATGGAAAAGAAAAGAAGTATGCAAATATTTACACTATGTGTTGTAGATTACATTTCTATTGCAGTTAAAATTCAGTATGTTATTCTGTAGGAGAGCCAAGCTTTTCTAACCATCGAAATTCAGTATGTAAATTTTATAAGTAGGTGGGGGTGGGGGCTAGCTATTAAAATGTCATTCACTTTTAAAATTCAGTTTGTTATTCTGAAGGGGATTAAAAAAACTACTAACCATTAAAATTGAGTATATAATTCCAGAAGAATGACTGTTTATGGAAGTTATCAATGATCTGTAAATGGTTGATATCAATCTCCTTCCTTAAAGTCTTCTTTCCTCCACTTTTATCAGCAATCAATGACTCTAACATGGTACGCACCATATATAACTAAAAAGGAAAGTGGTTTACCAGATATATACTGAGTGCCAGAAAGGCATCACCTACATGTATTTACAATTCACAAAAAATTCAAACAGACAGATCTTCCCTGGCAATTGACTAATCTTTCTAACACGTTTCTCAAATATGCATACAGAACATTTCCAACAATTTTTAGAATATATACAGCTGTATTCATTTCTATTGTTTTACCTTACATATAAAATAAACAATTCTACTGGGTGAAACATCACATGGCATGAAATAATGGGAGTTCATTTTACTTTAAATGCAAGGAATGAGGAATTACCCTAAAATTAAACCTTTCATTCACCAGTGAAAAACCTTTTGAGCTTCTCAATTAATACACAAGTGATGAGGAAACAAGGATAAAAAAATTCTTTTAGTTCAGAAGTTGGTCTTCACAAATAGTCGATTCAGGGCCATCAATACCTTTTCCCAAAAGAGTCTATCTTTGTTGTACATAGGAGGCATGCTAAAACACAAAATAATAAAGTGATTTGATAATCTGTTATGCCAGTAAGGCATGTGCTTCTAGAACAGGTATTTTCAATTGTTCAAAACGCTTCTACTGTTAGTTCAGTATAACAAAACAATTGTGGTCCTAAAAAGCTGTCAATATCCAAATTCTCAAACCTAAAAAAATATTTCTATTTGGTCTACTGTGATACTTTGAGTAAGAATATACTTCTTCGTTTATTTGTCCTCATATTATAATATTTTACCTGTGTAGAGGATGGACCAACATTTCTGCTTGGAACTTTAATGTTAAAGCCTTCATCTTCTTTCTTTCCTTTCATGGCAGGGTCATCATGGGGTTCAACTCCTCTTAACCAATCAGCACAAGTGTCTCTTACAGCGAGGATGATGCTAAAAAGGCAAGTATACAACCAATCAACATAAGTGTTTCTTAGTGATCAAATCTCAACATTCATTTAATATATCAATGAGGATTAGGATATGAATGGTCATAGAGCGACCTAACTTTATGCAGTAAACACCTTGTAATTGGATATTAGCTAAATGACTATCAATTAATGTAATTTCTTTTCACAACACCAAACCTTTTCTTATATATTTAACATATATCCACAATTTCTATTGCATGAATATCAAAAATAAGAATTTATAAGTGAAATTCTACATGAATATCTGGAAAAAAATATTAATAAAATGCTCCGCTGGGGCTCAGCTTGATACGACCGCAGAGGTCGAACCCTGCCTGAACAGTTGGGGCAAGTATGGACACAACATTCAAGCTTGATACCAGTGATATTGTTTGCCTCAAATTACAGCCGAAATTCGGCTTTTTCCCCTAGAGAAAATTCCCAATTACTAAAAAAAATGGCTTAAAATTCCTCCCAAAAAGTTTTACATTTTCCCCAAATAGTGATGGCATTGGTAGTAATGATTGTAAATATCGTATTCATGTTATTATTTTGATATTAGAAAGCACTTTTGAGATCCGGTTTTCTGATCAGAATCATCATGGTGTTTGTAACACATGTGGTTTTCAATGCATTAAGTACCATCATTGCTTTTGTTTCTTTCCCCTCTTAGAAAAGTACCTTTCGGGTTGAAAATGTCTGACAACCAAAATATACATGAAAAAACAGTGCAAAAAAGACTGCAAAGGTCTGCAAAAAATCGGAAATGTGTTTAGAATAAAATATACAAATTTCCCAATTTCAATAAAAAATATGCATTTTTCCCAATAAAAAACGGTAGAGGTAGTTTTGAAAAAAGACAACAATATCACTGGCACTGAATTTGGAGTGTAATTAAATATTTGACACAGCATAGGTTTCTGACACAGAATGAATGTGGTCTAAGAACTTAATAAATTTTAATTTACCTATTCAAACCATATCATTATTATTTGCTTTTATATATAAATCAGAAATAACCAATTTAAAATGGAAAATTTTAAAGGAAAAAAGGAAAAAAAAATCCCCCCCAAATTTTTTGAACCCCCTTATGATTCATCACCCCCAAACTCAATCCCAGCCTTCCCTTTGTGGTATGGTACCTTGCAGTACAATTTCAGAGAGATCCATACACTTGAACACAAGTTATTGTCTGGAAACTAGAAAAATGCTTGTTTTTTGGCCCCTTTTTGGCCCCAAATTCCTAAACATTTAGGGCAATTACCCCCAAACTCAAACCCAACTTTCCCTTTGTTATATGGAACCTTGCAGTACAATTTCATAAAGATCCATAGACTTACACACAAGTTATTGTCCTGAAACTAGAAAAATGCTTGTTTTTTGCCCTTTTAAGGCCCCTAATTACTAAAATTTGGAGGGAATTACCCCCAAAATCAATCCCAGCCTTCCCTTTGTGGTATGGTACCTTGCAGTACAATTTCAGAGAGATCCATACACTTGAACACAAGTTATTGTCTGGAAACTAGAAAAATGCTTATTTTTGGCCCCTTTTTGGCCCCCCATTCCTTAAATTTTTGGGCAATTACCCCCAAACTCAATTCCAGCTTTCCCTTTGTGATATGGAACCTTGTAGTACAATTTCATAAAGACCCATACACTTACACACAAGTTATTGTCATGAAACTAGAAAAATGCTTGTTTTTTGCCTTTTTGGCCCCTTATTCCTAAATTTTGGAGGCAATTACCCCCAAACTCAATCCCAGCATTCCCTTTGTGATATGGAACCTTGTGATACAATGTCAGAGAGATCCATAGACTTACACACAAGTTATTGTCATGAAACTAGAAAAATGCTTGTTTTTGGCCCCTTTTTGGCCCCTAATTCCTAAAATTTGGAGGCAATTACCCCCAAAATCAATCCCAGCCTTCCCTTTGTGATATGGAACCTTGTGGTACAATGTCAGAGAGATCCATACACACAAGTTATGTCTGGAAGTTACAAAAATGCTTATTTTTGGCCCCTTTTTGGCCCCTAATTCCTTTACTGTTGGTACCATAACCCCCAAAATCAATCCCCACCTTCCTTTTATGGTATTGAACCTTATGGTAAAATTTCATTGAGATCCATTTCCTTAAACTTAAGTTAGAGTGCGAAAACTAATGTGTCTTCGGACGACGACGACGCCAACGTCATACCAATATACGACCACAAAAATTTTTTTGCGGTCGTATAAAAATTAGTATAATTTGGTGTGTAAGAATCTTAAGAATAATGGGTAATTTCAATGTTCATTCGACAAAATGAAAATAACATCACAACATTGGTTGAAATTCTATTGTTACGGATGTTGTTAGCCATCACAGTGTATGGTGTTTGCTCTTGAAAATATAATTTACAATGAATTAAATTATGAAACTGTGAATTGCAGATTTAATGCTTCTTATGGCAGGAATGTCATTGTGAAGGCAATAAACATTGTAGGTATTCCTGTTTGTATGTCTGACCATATTAATGACAACTTACACTTTAATAACATCATTTTTCTTCCTGACAGATTTCCTCAGTGGTTCTCTGACTGTGATTTGTACAAACTTTTGAATTTCAGCGTAGATGTTACGTCGTATGGCATCTAGAAAAACGGACTCCATCCTTGCCATCAGTAACTGTAGACCTTTGATCATAGCTATGACTTCTATAATGGCAAACTTCTCATCACTGGAGTAGTTATACCTGGTTGACTGTAAAAAAAAGTTTGAATGATTATTAGAACTAAACACAAAAAATTCCCACATCAATTCAATTCAATTCAAGGCTTCAAGAATGAAAGATATTCTAGTCTTTCAAGTTTAAATAAATTCAAAAGGAAAACAATGAGTATGCATTGTTTACTGAAATTTTTCTCAAATTCTCTCATTAAAATATATTTTGTATTCACAGATCAAGCTCTTGATAAAGGGTAAAGAATATTTATTATTTATCCTGCAAACTTTGAAAAAAATTATGTTGCAGTAGCAGCCATAACAAAAATTTATAACTTAAAAAAATCCATATATGTGCAAACTAAAATATATGGTGTGATGACAAAAAGGAATTCAAACATTAACACTTTTTGAAATTGGTTCACATTTCACAGTATCATCAGACACTAGACTTGCATGACAATTTTTACATTTAGACATGATGGATACAATTGAGTATTTAATATGAAATTTAATAAGAACTGTAAGTAAGTGTATGTACATACCCTTTCATATTCCTCAGCTTCAGGTGGACAATCTTTGTTTTGATGTTGATCTGTAGGATGTAACAGTTTCCAGGAATACTATAATTATACAGATTGTTATTGTTTTTATGATCAAGAAATTATTCTTTCGTGCCATGCTCTATGCTCATTTTAACATAGGTAGGCATTATATTTGTCAATATCTTTATACCAAAAGTTGTTCAAAATACAATTTACATTGCAATTTTAATTTATCCATCCTCTATTTGTTTACAAAACATGAGAAGAATGTCATATTAAAAATTTTGCAGATGATTTACTGTAGTATGTTCATCAGTGCAATTTCAACTGTTGTGGTTTTGTAACTACTCAAACTAGTAAATATTATCTTTTATTGAATTATTTTAACCAAAATTGGAATCCACAACTTAAACAAATAGTTGTCATGAGTGGATGATATACCCATATAAAGGAAGATTAAGAGTCCCTAACTTCACAAGATAATCAGAATTCATTTAATTTATTAGGTTGTGTGTGGTATTATTGTATTAATAGTTAGGAAAATTCTCAAAATAGAGAAACAGCTGTGTACCAGAATATAGAAATTAACCATGTCTGAAAATGTAACATTGGTTTTAAAAAGTGAGATAGTTCCACCTACCAGTTCCATGACTTGCTGTGTCCAAGCAGACATGAGTTGTAAACCTCTCAATGCTAGGTCAGTTAACTCTCTATTCTCATCATCTGTACGTGGGGCCTCTCTTGTTGTGGTTATGGCCTGAAAAATGGGAAACTTATGAAAGCTAAAAAGTTAAAAATCCATTCAATTGAGAATTTACTTTGAATAAACTCTTTACTCCTCATATTTCAGAAGACTCACAGGTATTCAGAGTAATCTTCATGCTACCAGTATGTGCATAAAACCTTTAATACAGTTTGTTTTGCACATCTTAAAATGTTCTACCATACAAGATACTTTACTTACGTTATTTCATACTAACAGAATATTATGCATTTATGATTTGGGTATATAGCTTAATGCAAATATAGTTAATGTATCTATGTATGAAGTATGGCTAAAAGCATTTCTAAAGAAACAAAAATGAGATGTTTTCAACTTAGATAATTTTTCAATTATGATTACTTAGGTTATTGCAAATTTGACATCTAATCATTTTTAAAAATCCAAATATTTATTTTTCTCCTGTATTTTTGTAATACAGTTAACTCTAATGTCTATTACAGTGTTTTCCCTAGAAGGTCGAAATATGGTGGTGCCCCTTTCCTTCGAAATTCATGACCATCATCCATAAAAAAAATTCTAGGAAAAACACTATATCATATGAAAATTCTATATGTACCAACCATTAAAGTTTAAATTGTAATTTATTATAATAAAAATCCATAAGAATGAAACAGAAATTCAATGAATTTGAATGAATTATTTGAAGGAGATAAAGTGATTCAAAAGTAGAAATAGTTTTAAAGTAAAATGTTGATGCAGGCAATGATAGCTTGACAGTCGAGATCTACCCTTTATTTCAAAGCAATTTATGTTTTTAAAATTACTCATTCATTTGGATGTCAGAGACAAATATATATTCATTTTGCAATATTGTTTTTAAAGCCAGATGGACACTTTAAATATATGTATGGTCTGTTTGAATTCAGTTTGGTCTATTTTTATAAAAACAGCGGAAAAAAACAAAGAAAAAATGTCAGTCATGTTTTTTTTCAACTGGCATGGTCTGAAAAACAATGCCATAATCCTAAATAACATATCTTTTAGAAAGTATTTGTGATCTGAAAATTTGTTTTGTTTTAATTTAAAGAAAACCTGCAATTCATGAATTTTGAAATGAAAACTAAAAGTACAATATATTAATGTCATACAATGTTAACGATGTATTTTAATGTGCTTTTCATACAACTTTCAAGGTTAAAGTTCATGTTACATTCCTTTAAATAGTCCTAATACAAACTATCATCATTTTTAAAAAAATAAACTGCTGAAACAGAGATATGTCTTGCCTCTTTGAATTTTTCGTAATATATTGCAAAAGTTTAAATTAACATCACTACAACAAAACGATAACACACTAAAATTAAGCTCATGTCCTCAAGCACAGCAAAAAAAGTCTGGACTAGTATAATTCTCATCATGGTATCTAAGTGGGTTGTTATTCTGTTAAAATTGAGTCAACCATAATTGTGTCTACAGATTTGTATTATAATTTGGGAATTGACCTGGTCTCCAAATCATTTAGGAATGTTAGACATCAACATAACTTAAATCTGGAGACAAAAATATACCATCTAGTACCAAAAAAAGGAAGCACTGATTAATTCAAAACAAGAAAAGTAGCTGGTTTAATGCTTCTAAAAATTAGATACTTCTTCCTATCATTCAATTATGACCCACTATAAATACACAAGACCATAATTTTCATAGAATGTCTTTAAAAGTTATGTAAATCACAAAGAAAAAGTTTCCATAGTGTATAGGAACTCATGTATTGATATGTATGGCAGCTGGCATTTTACAACCTATCTCCGCGTCAGCTAGTACCAATATCCCGTGTCGCTCCCATACAGTATGGCTACAAATATGTATCAAAATCCAGTTCACAACCTGAAGTATTGTATCAATAGTCCTGATAATTGCTGTTTTCATTAAATTTCACTCATCTAGGATGGAATTTTTACATTTCAACAGACCAGATAAAAAGGTCAAATCTTTATCAAGGAAAACAAGACAGAAACTTAAAGTAACAGAAATATAAAAAGCAGACATCTAGAGTAGCTTACTACTAAATGTAAAATGATTTCAAGATGATGAGATGAAAGATAAATATAGTTTTGAAATGAAGTAAGGGTTTTAAAAGCTCTAAAATGTTTTCATTCCTGCAGTAACATATATGAATTGAAGACAGAATCATACTGATAAGGGTTAAACTTCAATATCTGAAAATCAGTTGTATTTATGGAACTTTATCAAGCTATTTATAGATAATGTTACATGCCATTCAAGGTCAAATGAAGGTCATTAGGACAAATCATCTGTTATCATTTCAAGGGTATACAATACAGTTACAGGGGAGGTAATGACGTTGCTAACGTAAAATGTTATTTTTCACAACGTCAAACTGTGACAAATCAGGAAAAGATGCATTTTCAACTGATTTTTATCATTCTGACTGATTTAACTTGAAAACGAGTTCATGGACCCCTCTTTTTAAAATGACATTTGGCTTGATTATGTATGAAGATTCTTTGTGCCAATTTTTATGAACAAATCACCAATGCAATTTTTTAAAATTAGATAAATATACAGCAAAAAATGCTGTTCTTTGGCTAAAATCATGAAAATGTGATAAAAATTAATAATTTCCAAAGATTTGTTACAAAAATTCAAAGCACACTTATGTAGAGAAGATATTCCAGATGCTTTTACAAAAATCTGCTTGCGTTTATCTTTTTAAACAAAAAAGCTAAGTGTGTCTTTCCAAAGGATAGAAATGTCCAAAAAACCAAAATTTCCAGTAGCACATGAAGGTATATTTCTTATTACATATTTGAATTGACTAGTTGAAAAATATCTAGTATGCAAACTTTTGTCGAATATTCACTGTGGGATCAAAACTGTATCGTATGCCCTTAAGCAGCCAGTATACTCTACCTCATTTTTCATTTGTAATTTCAGCTGAAAGTCACCAGAGCATTATAGAAATCATATTTACTCCCTATTCAGTATTTTTTAATCAATCATTGTAGGTAATAGGATTTTTCTGATACATTTAGAATGTAAAAAGTTTGAATATGAATAAAATATACATTGAATGATCAAGCATTACAATGACTAACCATTCTAATACGGAATTTGTGATGTCAATTTTTATGGGATTAAAATTTAATTAAAACTTTACCATTTCTTTCACTTACTGTGAAAACATCTATTATTTATATATATATGTATGTGTACATTGTATGATCACTAATATGAACTAACTGAGGGATAAATATGTGTGGAATACACAACTACACAAAAACCATATAAGTATGCCTAAAGATTCTAGACTAAATTCTAATATAGCTATACAGCCTTTAAATTATGCTACAACTCATATAATTAAGCAAGCACAAGAAAGCTCAAGTAATAACAGTGCAAAATTATATAAATTGGATCTGTATTTACACTGTCATTTCATTTATGATGAGGGTGATTTGCCTAAGTCATATCAAACATTGAAAGTACAAAAGATTTAATAAATAATGAATCAAACAATCAAATGTAGAAAAATATTCAATAAGTGACCAAGCAAAATATTAATTCACAAATGTGAAGCCCATGAGTTAATTATCAGTGATGCACCATCACCAGTTGAATAATTCTTGGACTAGTTTTTCTTTTTATTACACTGACCATAGCTTTTTAATCGAATATCAAAGGTAGGAAATGATTTGGTAATGTTTGTTTAAGTCGTCCATGATTGTTTTTGAAATTGTAGAGGGCACTCTTACTTCTTTTCAAATACTCTAATAATTAACCTAATCCATATTTATATGAAATTCAAATTCAAAAATCCAATATGTACTGATAAATATCAAAGTTAAAGGCTTCATAACAAATTTCTTTTAATGGCATTGTATAACGATGTATAAACTGCAATACGTAATCGGTTGTTCGTTCAGATTTGGTTTTTCATACTGCTTTCAGATAAAAGTCTTTCAAACATCAATGGTATGAATAACTTTAACAATATTTACTAAAAGATGGCATTCATAACTCATATTGATTAAATATGATAATTATTCTAAAGTCTAAATTAATTCCTAGTAGATTCAAACTATTAATGAAAGACCATGCAAGCTTAAGGCTCTGTATACCTCATTACTGTGGCGGGCCAGCTGGCTGATGTATGACATGTGGTCCTCACGGATGGGCTCAAGATTGGCAAGTAAGTTAGACTGTGGACTAGGATGGGATGATTCACATGCTGGCCACTTTCCAGGGTCAAAGTTCATACTGTACTTTATATAATGGTATGGATTAATCTGCATGTCTCCATATAGTGGTACAACTTCCAGTTGCTGGAAAAAAAAGATATTATACAATCTAACACAAAAACTTACTTCATTAATTGTACTTAATGGGTTACAAAAAAAGAAAAATTCTAGATAAAAACATTAGAATTACAGCAAATATGATGAAAGCCATACAACTTAAGTTTTAATATTCTATTAAAGCCTAGTTCAAAGATAACTCTTTCCTATCTGTCAATCAATAATGAATTACAATGAAGTCAATACTGCTTTTTTAAGAAAAACAAAAGTTTTGATTATATTATTTTTGCATGATTCTACACTTTCATATCAGTTAGAACACGAATTTTGATTTCAAGTTATTTTCATGTTGCAATTATGGCAGATAATCTAGATTGAAAATACAATGAGAGTAACTGGGGGGAGCTGAAACGTTTTGAAAAATATAATGCATGCATCAATATGAATTGATTTTAAGATAATTTTTAAAATAAAACAAGTCCCTGTATATATACCATGTAAAAACAAAAAAACAAAATATTTTTCTTCTATATGTATGTGCTGTACATAATTGAATTAAATTACTAAGGGTATATACTCCATATGGAGGTGCTCCTACTTACAGGAGGCTTATACACAGAAGAAGTAGTATCTAGTGTCAGAATATGATTAACATTTGTGTTTTCTCAATTTTAAATATGACATTACTCTTCAGTCTTCTATGTATACATGAATAATGACACTGATATGGAACTTAAGTCTTACCTTTAAGTATTTGTCTATTTTTGTTAAATTTATTCTTTTCTTGGAGTCCATTTTATAGATGTTGTTTTGTTCATTGTCAATCATAAACAACCCACAAGCCATCACCTATGGAAGAGAAAAAATACTGAATTGCATTACCATATACATTAAATACATGTATTAGGTACAATTTCCTCCTAAAGTATACTTTAAATACAAAATTTAACACACATATGTATTACTTCTGACCTTGGTCTCTTGTAAATTTTTATATGGAATATGCTTTCAAGTGCAATACATATTCTACGAGGATAAATATTCACCATTATTCATGAAATAACCTTTTTTTTTGTATACCAAAGCTTTAAAAGGGTTTAAAAGATAATTTTGTCACTGATGATGTAGCTAATTTAACTGTATAACTGGATGAAAAAATAAAAATTGCACCAGTATATAAAAGTCAATGATCTATTAAAAGAAGGTACATTTCATTATCAATGAGTAACATGTAATAATCAAATGATTCATGTTAAAAAAAATAACTGAGACCATCATTTCAATTTATTTCACACTTAAGTTAACTCCATCATCAATTTGACATCAGTTCTATTCTAACAAACAAAAAAAACAAAAAGTGGACTTGATTGATTGATTGTTGGTGTTTAATGCCAGTTTATGCACTGTATATGCTATATCATAGATGGCCAGTTTTTCTTGGTACTTGGGAAAAAGGGCTAGAAGCTTAAGTACTAGTATTACCCTATTATGACTACACGTTACCTTATGACAGTCATTGTCTATAACAAAGTCAGATGACCTCATGATGATAAGCATACCTTAACTAACATGTATTTCTCTGCTGGTTCCAGGTACAATCAACATACCTTAACTAACATGTGTTTCTCTGCTGGTTCCAGGTACAATCTACATACCTTAACTAACATGTGTTTCTCTGCTGGTTCCAGGTACAATCTACATACCTTAACTAACATGTGTTTCTCTGCTGGTTCCAGGTACAATCTACTTACCTTAACTAACATGTATTTCTCTGCTGGTTCCAGGTACAATCTACTTACCTTAACTAACATGTATTTCTCTGCTGGTTCCAGGTACAATCTACTTTCATACATGTTGACACAAATGTTGATGACATCAGCTAACAATTCCTCATAACCAGGTGTGGATTGGAGGACTTCTTTAAGCATGTCTCTGATTTTGTTTTGAGTGGCAAGGAACATAGATAAATTCTGAGATTCTTGTAGAGCTTGTGGGTCAGCAATTACTTTTAGAAACTGTGCAGCCCTGAAGTTTGATATCAATATAATTAAAGATGTGAATAATAACAAATTCTTTTGTAATTTAATTTCTGAATGAATTACAGGATTTATAAGGATTCCGCAGTAGTTGTTAGAACTCATTTTTTTGCTATTTGGAATATTATAAAACTTATTTGCACATGGCAATCAAGTGTCATTTCACCAAAAAAATCTCTAAATAATGTATTCAGAATTAAATGATAAAAAAATTACTTAACACAAGGTATTAGAACATGTCTGCTAATAAAATATACTTCATCAATTCAAACATATATGCCATGTGTATATGTAGGATTTACTTAAAACAAATATAAATAAATAAAATAAACCAATTGTAAGAAAATAAATACAACTTAGCAGTTTTAGCAGTTACAACAGGATATACTTCATAAGCAAGAGTTAAATGAAGAAATAGAGAAAAATATCATGCAAGGTATTTTTTTATTTCAGAAAGAAACAAATACTCACCAATTATTAATTTAAGCACCAGTACAGTACAATATTGAATTATAAATGATTTAGAAAGCTTCTATTCTATTTTGATTGTTTTGTTGTAGAAATTTTGATTGAATTTTCTATTTTTGATGCAATGGCAGTCATGTTTGATGAATATAAACATTTATACTGAAAAGTGACCTGAAATGCATCATTTACTAAAAGATTGGACAAAAAACAAAACATTTTAAAAGATATTACAAGAATTTTATTGGAATTTTGGTCAAATTTCCATTTAATGACAAAAGCCTTGCTGAATGTGAGTTCGCACATCAAAATTAATCTGAAAAAAGAAAATTTATCATTTAATCAAAATGGTAGCACGATTTATTTGGAATTCATCCACTGAAGTTTGTTTCACATTTTGTAATCTAATAATGGTGCAGCCATGTTTGATGGTAGTTGGGTTATCAACCATTGTAATCTAATAATGGTGCAGCCATGTTTGATGGTAGCTGGGTTATCAACCATAATTCTTAAGAGGGATCATCAATGTCTTAATTTCCCAGTTCTCTCCAGGATTTTTCCGAATTTTTGAATTGATTAACCCATATACAATGTATTCTTATGTTACTACAGTAGTCATGTTGCTTGATTAACAGTAACAAACAAAAATAATTTGAAACTAGAAAAATTAAGGATGATAGTGGCAAAGTTAAATTTCAATTAACCAATTATGTGAGATGAAAAATTGATACTGAAAAATACAGGGGCTCTTTTCACAAAAATCTTACGACTAAAATTGATTGTGAGTTATATTGAAATGTTCATGACTTACGAGTGGTTTTATAATTTCTATATAATTTTATGAGGGACAACTTTAAATAGATTGACCAATTAATGGATGTAAAGTAATGACAAAAAGTTTTACTGGCCTTTAAGACCAGCTGAACTAAATGAAAATCTGTTGCAATCTAATTCAATTTGGATTGATAAGATTTCACTCTTATCTTTTGTATAAATAACATAAAATATTCTGTAATGAATATAATTGATGAATTCCAAAAATGTACTTGAAATTGACACCAAGATAATTTTAAATGAAAATTCATGCTCTGCAATCATTTACTTTAACCCAAACATAAAAGAAGAATAGGTACTAAAGAAGACTGATACTAAACACCTCTAATTATTAGTAAGATCACCACAACAAATATTCTCAATCAGCCAGATGCAGAAAAATTAAAACAAGAATACAATTAAAAATTGTCCATTATAAAAAATCTTGCATTGTACACTCTCTTTTACTCTAATACTAAAATAGTCAGAGAGAGTTGCTTAAATACAGCAAGTACTATGAGCAAAAAATGAGAAATGTGTCATTTTCACTTTAATTGTTTGAGTAGACCTCTATATTGTCATGAATTAAGTTGAAGTCATACTCTGAAGTACAGGTTCTTTTTCTGATTTTATCAAATAATTTATTTGATTAAATCAATCTTTTTTTGGCAAATTGAATTACAATAAGAATTATCACTTGTTTTCAACTCATCAAGTATTCTATAATCGTTTATTTAACATGTTTCAAGATAGTGACATAGTGAATTAATTGTTACTGAAAAATACAGGGGCTCTTTTCACTAAAAATCTTACAACTAAAATTGATTGTAAGTTATATTGAAATGTTCATGACTTACGAGTGGTATTACTCGTAAGATTTTTTGTGAAAAGAGTCACAGCATCATATTATGAATGCCTGTTTAATACTACAACAATTTCAACAAATGGAAAAAAAAGTTGTAAAGAATTTCTAACCCCAAAAGAGTTCCATACATCACATAAAAGGGTACAATACAAAACTTTCTACAGTAATGGTTGGTAAGGGATCATAGATTTATTCTTATGAGGAAGCTCCGAGCATGCTCGGAGGATGCTCGGAGCTTTTTAAGTAGGCTCTTCTCAGCAGTTTATGTGAAAATAATTATCATGATCTATTAAGATGTCAATCAAATCTATAGCACTTCTACAATAAGGAAAGTAGAGCATTATAGAGGAAGCTCAATTAACACCTGTGTAAACATCTGGTCGATTCAAATAAATCTTGCATTAATTTCAAAACTATAAAATAGATGGGAAATTCTTCAATAGCACTGTGCAATACTTGGAAAGTAATATCAAGTGTTCACAGAAAGAAAATGTGTTTAAAACACTTTCTTAATAATTATCGTTTTTTTTTTTCAATACAAAAAAAAAACCCAAAATTTATATTTAAAATATAAATATAACTTAAATTTATACTATATAAAATATAATATAAAAGTCATCAAAGACACAAACTATGGACTTTGTGAAACTTTAAATGCTATAGCAAACTTAAATTTCAATTGAAAACGATGGCTACTTTGGGAAAAGTTGTAATTCATAGGCTAGGTGGAAAGACTTGTAACAATCGTTATGATAAATTGATTTTAGTTCAGAAATCCTCGAATTTTTTTTCTTAATTACTTTTTCTATTTGTTTTTATAATAATTAAACAGATTCAGTGGATCAAAAACTTTATAACAAAAATTTAAAACTTCGAACTGGAATTTCCTTTGTCTATGCAATGCAACTTCTTTTCCCTAAATATTTCATATACAATATTTACATGAAAGTATTGAGAAGATGTTTTATTGATACTGTTTATGTTTCAAAAATTATACAGAGATTAAACAGAAAAAATAAGAAATTATGAGCTTTATAATTAGGCTCCAATATAATTTCTTATTAATTTTTTAATGACCTTACTTTTCTTTTTCATAGCTACAAAATAACTTAGAAAAGTAATTTAAAGTAATTCCACTGCCCAGACCAACTACCATAACCACCATTTATAACATACTATTAAATGTACAAAGTATTGAAGCATCTTTTTCTTAGCTCAATTAGCTCTCAGCTCTTAATGTTATTTAAAGGGGAAAAAGGGGAGAGAAATTGATTGGTAATTTTCTGGAGATGTTGACTTTCTTATATGCACTGACAAGTTATGTTCTATTTTTACTGTAGTACAGGACAGGATAAAACTTTACTCATGTCAAGTATTTCTTTATCTAAAACAAAGATAATATTCACACAATTTAAAAAAAATCAATAAAAGAGAGACGTACTAGAGGGAAAACATTGGTGGTGTTACCCCCTCAAACCAGGGTTCCAATAATGAATTGCAACTTTTCCTAAAGTAGCCATAATTTTCTATAAAAAAAATAAGTTTGTTATTTTATAAAAAAACCAATGGTAATATGTTAGGGGCATTACTTAAATAAGTAATTTTCAAAATTACCTATACAAGTTATGTTGAAATCGTGGCTATTTCAAATATTACTTCTATATCATGTATAAGTAACTTCTGTTAATATTACTTTTATAGATATCCATTCATACACGTTTTTCTAGCTTGAACAAATTTTCACAGACATCTGGTTATTTTCCCCATGAAATATAAAACTATTTAAATCCTCCTGAAACACTAATTACCTGTCTGATGCCACACTTCTTGGTAAAAGATTGGTCTCTTGGGGCTATTAAAATATTGTTTCCCTTAAAATCTTAGAGATAGCCAGATATGAATAGATGTAACCTTGTGATTTATTTGAATTTATTTATGATTTGTAATCTTAATCAAAAACAATTATACATGTTCCTTAAATAATTGTAAGTACTAAGCTAAGTTTTTCAAAGACGTATAAAATAATTTATAAAAGTATTTTTTTTGTCTTTATTTTTAAAGTTCCTCTCTATACTCATCTCAAATTGGATAAATACTTAATTTTATGAAATGATATAAAAATTCTTTAAAAAATTACATTTAGTACATGATTCTTTTGACATATAAAATAATTATTGAGGTATCAAATAATTTTCAAAAACAAAAAATACCTATATTAGAGAAACTTAAAAAATAACTTTAGTAATAATAATAATCGCCCCCTGACTTTTGTTTGTATCTTGATAACTTTTATGTAGCATTTTATATAATATAAACTATGTTTATATCATATCATCTAATTATAAAATTTGGTAATTTTTTTATTATAAAAAAGGAATGATTATTAAATATATCAAGAAAATATTTTAATGACTTTTACTTTTTGTGGAGACTTGAGATTTCTTTCCAAGCATTACACAGTACTGTTGAAGAATTTCTAATCTATTTTATAGTTTTGTAAAGTTTCATGCAAAATGTATTTGAATAGACCAGATGTTTACACAGGTGTTTATTGAGCTTCCTCCATAATGCTCTACTTTCCTTATAATAGAAGTGGCGTAGATTTGATTGACATCTTAATGGATCAGTATAATTATAGTCACATAAACTGCTGAGAAGAGCTTACTTAAAGGCTCCGAGAATGCTCGGAGCTTCCTCATAAGAATAAATCTATGATCCCTAAATGGGTGCTGCAACCAAATGCGTTCATTTATATTTTTTCTTTTAATTCAGAAAAAAATCAATATTCAGGAACATTGGAAATTTCCCTTTGTAAAACAAGTGATCTTTTTAATGAAAGATTTTAAGATAAGATTATTTGTCAAACTAATCTGCATCTGGGTGATCAAGACTGCAAGGCTACAACACAATTATGTTACTATCCCCTAACTTGAATGTCCCAAAAACAACACACACACACAGACCCTCACCTCCTAAATGCTGAATAATCATTTCTGATACTGGCTTTCATATTTTTTAACTGATCTAGCTCAGCAAAAGTGTTAATGAACTTCCCCAGGGTCAATAAATAGGCCTCAGATACAAAATCATTTCTTTTCTGTATGTGACACAATCGTTTCACTTCACCCCCAAATCGTTCTATGGATTCACGCTGTAAAGTAATATTAACTGTTTTAAAAATATGACATGATTTCTAACTTCCAACCCCAATGACTTTCACAATGGATCTATGCTCAATCTCTGTGGAAAAAAAATCTGAAATCAAATTCTGCATTTGAAATATGTTAAATTCTTTTTAGTACCACTGCACCCTATTTTAGCTTAAAAATATAACCAACTCTTTTTTACTTGAAACAAATCAGATATTTCAATTATTATACCAAAGATGATTTTAAGAAGAAAAAGATGTCATCTCCACTAAAATTCACTTTTTGGAATGATCATCCACAAAGAATAAAGTAACTGCAAAATTTTGAGCTGAAAACAATTTTTAAGAAATTCAATGTGAGACATTTTCATTTGATAGTCTCACAAGTTTCAGAAACGTCACAGGTTTTTTCATTCCAAATGAAGAGAGTTGATTTTATGTATCCTCCATACAGCAACAAATGTTTGTTTTTCAAACACTGTTGAGGTTGTATGAAATCTTTTTAGAAGTGCTGCCCCTCTCTAATCTCTATAAAACAATTACTTTATTAATTCCTATAGCTACTATACACTTTCCTATAAAATCCTGCAAGTTGTGATAACTAAGCCAATGAATATAACTAGCAAATATTTCGAACCAGTGAAAAACCATGACATCAAAAATATCTGGTGGAATATATTAGAAGGAAGTAAAGCTAAAGATAATGATTTCATAATAAATAGAAACATGCTTAAATATCAAAAGATTGATTAAGCTAAAAAAAAGTTTCTTGAGAATTTAAGCAGACAGTCTGTCTTTTAGTATATCAGTCTAAGGTTGATTTGTGCAAATATCATTCATCAGCATTAATTTCATGAATATTCATATGATATTTCTGATTTCATATTTTTACTGGTAGTTGATGAATAGCATAATTGTTGGGCAATATAAAGCAGAGCTAAAATACATGGAAAAGAATACAAGATAATTGTAAAGTAATCAGAAACGATTTTGCATTTTATAGAAAATACATGCAAGAAAAGAAGTGTGTAAATGGGAACAACAAGACTGGTGAGATAAACTAATTACAGACACAAGCAACATGACATTTATATAAAGTTCAATTTTTTTTTAAATTTAGTTTAAAATTTTATCTTAATTTTCGTTTTTGCAAACTTATCATTATCTGCTAAATCTGGAATTATAGTGAACTTTCTGTAATTTACTAAAAATCTTTAATTCTTTCCATTTGCTCCAAAACTGACTGCTAAGTGAAAAAGATGGTAGTATTTCTTTCAAATTATTTTTTTAAAACTCAAAAGCTGCACGATTATTTAAGTATGTATGCAGCAGAAAGGTTTTTTAACCAAAAAAGTTTTTCTCCGTCTTAAAAAGTGTAGGCAAGTCCTTTATATACAATTTAATATTAGTTGTTCTCTATAATTAAAAACAACAATGTAATATTAAGTTTAAAATGCTAAAATGTTTACCACCATCTTGAACAAAAACTAAGCAGTCAAATGGCATGTAAGTAAATAATGTTACATATCTTCCATGGTATGTTGTATATACTGTATATCTTCTGCCTATGATATGTCTGCTCAGGACTCACCTTCTAAAGGCAGAGTAATCATTACTCAGGACTCACCTTCTAAAGGCAGAGTAATCATTACTCAGGACTCACCTTCTAAAGGCAGAGTAATCATTACTGATACTCGCTTTCATGTTTTTTAACTGATCAAGCTCAACAAATGTATTGATGAATTTTCCTAAGGTCAATAAATATGCCTCAGAAACAAAATCATTTCTCTTCTGAACGTGACAAAGACGTTTAATCTGCTCACCAAATCTGTCTATAGCATTTTTCTACAAATTAAAAGACATATAAAATTCTTATCAATTTTGGTTTCTGTTCTCATATTATTCCTTGTTCTGAAATACAAAAAGAATGTTTAATGTATCTAAATAACATGCAAATCGTTTAAAAATATCTGAAACAATTAAGCATTTTCTCTTTCTTATCATATACAGTTTTTAGAAGTTGAAACTCATATTATTTATCGTTATTTGCTGAATGTAGAGTGACAGAAAGCATGAGTAGCTCATAAATATTCGAGAAGAAAACAAATAAATATACACTCATTTGAAGGTACAGATTGATTACAGTATATATTTTGTATTTTTCTACGACGAAAGTTGTCATTTTTTTTAGGGATTTATTTTAATGGAAACACACACAAAAGGGAGAAGATACCATCGAGGCAATAAAACAATGTAAGCTGATAGACAGACAACATTACGGTTAAAGAAGAAGAAAAAAGTCAAATAAGAATCCACAAAGCTATACACAGAAAACTTCATTAAGCAACATGAACCCTACCAAAAAATTAACCTGGCTGAACTCAGGTCATGCAGGTGCTCTGGAAGGGTCACACATCTTCTAATTTTATCTTGCTATATCTTTTAACAAAACAAACTACATGTATTCACTTGAAAATATATATGTCACTAATTATAAGTAATTCTTTCAAAGTCTACACACAAAGTAAGTATGAGATTCAAGAAAGCTAGTAATTAAATTTTTAAAGTAAATATGAAAGTAAACATAACTTCCAGAAAAGATGTTTTATATGATTTACTTAAGTTTTTAACTAACATTTCTTTTTTTTACCTAAAAGAAACTATGATAAAATTACAGGAAGAGGTGTTAGCAAAATCTGAAATGTCAAGGTGATTGTAACACTTATATGTGCAATATCATATAATCATCTTAAAAAAGATACTTTGTGTTTGTTCTCAGGTTACAAGCTATGTTTTAATTGGCAAAATGAAAAACATGTGAAAGGTTTTATTTTTTTTTATATTTAGAGACACACTTCTGTCTACAAATTTAGAGTTGAAGAATCATATAAGAATTTTCTTTCACATTTTTCCCCCTCAAAAGTCTCTTAACATAAATAAAACCATCTTATGTATGTATCATATTTGTATGTATACTTATAAAGATCAAATTATGACAATACACTATATTTCTTAATTTAGCCTTAATAATTACCACAAAATACATAAATTCCATAAGTTTTGACACTTGTGGATCCAAGACCTCCACAATCTTATTGTAAATCTCTGATCTGTTAGGCTGTTCATTACTTTTCACCTGAAACACAAAAAAAATTGTAACAGCTTCATTTATGGTTTGCAATAATAATGACCTACACAACTCCTTGTATTTATACTAATAAAACAATCAGAATTTATACTTAAGTCTCATTAGTCCCTATCTAACTAGCACAACAAAAGGGTACTAATCATTGTATTAAATTTCAATCAGGCCGTTTTTTTTCTATAGGCAATTCAGATAAATGTTGGAATTATAAATATAAGATTTCTCAGAATAAATGCTCTTGAACTTGAATTTGATTGCAAGATTATTCCATGCTTCTGACCTACAAGGCTTGAGGCAATGGCCTGATTTCTGTTGTTAGTCATTTTATATAAGGTGAAAAAACAACTTTTATGAGTTTATCAATATTTGAATGCAGTTACACTTTAATATGTCACATGGAATTTTAACATTTGCAGGTAAGGGACACAGATATTGCCATGATGTTATCTTTGTAGGAGTCCGATCTATTTTTATGTTATTCAATGTTTTGTTGTAAGGGAATTATCCTAGATCTTTTTAAAATACACTGGATCTCAAGGTTTTCCATGCTTTTTTTTAGACCCTGATCTGTTTTTGGAAAAGTCATGTTGTGATAAACATGATAAATACATTTTAAGTGTTTGTTATGGATAGAGCAACTGTGAAAAATCATTTCTAATCATTGTTGGGCTGAATTAAGATTGAAACAAGAATTTGAAATAATTGGACATGTCCTACTCATACTGCCATATTCAGGGAAATCAGGGTCTAAACTGTATTTGGCATCATCATTTCAGATCATTCTGAACATGTGTACTAAGTTAGAAAGTTTTAAGTTGATTTGACTACATTTCCATAGATATCTACATGAAACAAAAAAACTTTTAACTGAGGATGAACTGTTTTTGCACCATCTTATTTACACATTCAGTAAACTGTAAAACAAGGGTCAATACCATAATTTGGCTTATAATTTAAAGTTCACATCATAATAAACATCACTGTCCCTGTTTGGGGGAAGGTTAGGGCACACAAATATGTTTAACCCAGCCACATTCTAAAAATGCTTGAACAAGCCAGGAACCTGTTATCCAGTGCTTTCTTTCATATTTGTTTTTCTTTTTATCTATCGTACTTAAATTAAGCTGTTGGTTTTTTCATTAAATTGTTTTACATTTTCAATTTGTCATGTTAAGGCTTTAATAGCCTACTATCAGAAATAGGTTTTGCTCACTCATGAAGGCTGTACTGTGACTTACATTTGCTTTAATCTATGTCAACCCAACCTGATATGGGATTGATAGACTCATGAATTGACAGACCAGAAAATAAAATGCTCCTCTTCCATCTTCAGCAGGGCATTATGTGTACCTAAAAGTTCCGAATATGTGATATTCTTTATTTTATTTACCTGAGGTAATGCTCTAGAGCAGCATCTCCATGTGTATAATATTGCAGCAAACTCTTGTCCTTTCTCTAATAGCTTGTTCTGTAACATTGAAAATATAAGAGCAAGTTTATATTGTATCAAAATTCAAAATGATTCTTGTTAACCTTATCTGGCTGATCTATAGTACAATTCAGATTATTATCTGTCTTGGTATTAGTTGTTAACAGTACTAGCACATGCTGGGGATTATTGGCAAACCTGATAAATGATAAGAGCATTCATTAAAACATGATTTGTGCTGACACAAAGTTGAAACTGTTAACATGGTTAAGATTATTGCAATTTTAATTTCATAATGACTCATAATAATGCCCTTTTGGCTGTAACAGGCACTGTCTCGATTTAAGTTAAAACTGGGCATTTTAACAATAACTTACCTCATTAATCATGTTAATAAAACAAATATTTTCTGTGTTTTGTTGGACTTGGTTGATAAATGTATTAATGGGTGTTTTCATAATGGCTCTGTTATATGTCCTCGGTCAGTAACAATCACCTAGGAGGCTGTAATAATCCTGGGCGTTGTTTCTGACCATTACAGATATCTCAGCTCATTGTTACACACCTTTGACATATAAAAAGGCTATCATAAAAACACCCATTAATTAATACTATAGTACAAAAACTGTACATACCAAATCTGCATGGACTGTGGCCTCTTCTATATATTTAGCAACCCCAGTGACATAGGCATTTCTATCCTCAAAATTAGTGTCAAAATTAGCTTGGTAATGGATGGACAGTGAAAGGCCTTCTATACAAGGTTGTTGATCAGGTAAAGGCAATTCATCCAGAACATCTACATTCTGTAGGGCGTCTGTCAGGGATATCTTGTCTCCTGACATTTTTCAAAGCTAAAAAAGAAGATATTTCATTTGTAAATGTGTAGGATGACAGCATCATATACTAACAGAGATAGTTGTAACAATTAGCTTTGGAGAATTCAAAAATTTATGAAAGTACTGGTAGTAGTATGAGTTTATTTCTAACTTTGTAAGATTGACAATATTTAAGGGAAATAATTTTGTTGAACATGTTGAATGAATGAACAACATACTAAATATAATTAAAAATAAGGAAAAAGTCAAAATGGCTAACTACATTACACGTTCAGCATATAGAAATGTAAGTCAATGTCATAATTTGTCATTAGTTGAGTTGTAAGTTCTACCCTATTCAAATATCTCCTGCTAAGAGTATAAACAAACAGACAGTATCTGATCTTCACTTTTCAAGGTTGTGCCTTCAGTACTTTTGACTACATGTATATATGTTCAATTGTTTGTTAAATTCTAATTATAATGCACACACTGCATAGAAGCAAGGGATATTATATAATGTTTTGAACACACCTGTCAGTGTTTCTTTTGAAATGCTACATGTAACTCAAATACTTTATATTGTATTGCAACCTTACATGAGCTATTTTGCCCTGATTCCCATATGACCTGGTTTTTACAAATAATGTTATTTTGTCAAGAATATAGATGTAAACTGTCAGTACAATGATTTTTTTTTTATGTGAATTTGGTAAGGAAGAATCAATTAAAAAATTAAAACTAAACCCTATTACATGTAGTGCAATAAAATGACATCTAGTATGTGTGTATTTGTTACTGGCTTTGCATTTTAAGCTACAATTAGGCTGGAATGAAAAATATCAATAATTTTTCGGTAATCAGATACAAATTGAATACTTTCATTGATTTTATAATATGACAACCTCTCGCTCTATCGACACGATTATTCACAAAAAAAAAAATGTTAATGATTTTGGATTCACCAGTATATTGATTTTTCTAGCAGTTGCAAAATATTCTTGTGTCAGTAATTGAGTAAAATTTTCCTGGCAAAATTGGGTCTCAAAGCTGAGAGCAAAATTTCCTCTCAAAGTACAGACAAAAAAATGACTTTGGCGTTATAAAGTTGTAGGAAGGCCTCTCAGCAAAAAAAATTAAATGGCCTTAAAAGAGGACATAACGATATGAATGCATGTCGTTTCGTAACCTGGTTGTTTCGTACCTGGTCGATTCGAACTACGTTGCTTTGTAACTGAGACGTTTCGTACCTGGTGCAATTATACATGTAAATGGTTATAAAGTGTTCGTTTAAATTAATTAGTTTAAATGAAACAGATAAATGTATTATTTAAAAATGATCAAATTTTTTATCTAATAATAACAATATTGTAATATTTCTAATTTAAAACTTTCTTAAATCTTTTTAATTATTGGCTAATTGGCTAATTGGTAATTATGCTCGGTGACAGCTTTAATGGTTTTATGACAACTAATGAGATTGACAGGTAATAAAAAGTAATTACAGTAGGTGTAAAGTGATTAAGTAGATTAATGGCACACGACCTAACGCACACGACCTGAAAAAAATAATTATTTTCTCTTTTTTTTTCACTTTTACATGCAATTGCATAACCCTTCTCCTTTTTGACCCGGGCTTTTTTATCTTTTGTAAGAACACTTTATCTTACTCTATTCTTTTTCTTTCTTTCAGATACATCACTATGTAACTGTTGTCCTTTGTTTGCATGTTTATACTGGCATAAAGCCTGATTTTTCATCCGAAAAACCCAGGTATAAACATGAAACAAAGTCTAGTTGGCTGGAGCAGCAGCAGCAGCAGTTGGTCCGTAAACAAAAGCACACCTCCTTAACAATGTACTACATGACATATGGTTTTGAGTGAATTCATCCCAGAATGAGAAAATGCATCCTTGTATGCAGCGGGTCTTAACACGCTGATACCTTTTTAGTTTACCTTCGGATACTAACTTGATCTGAAAGCACGTGACAGAAGACTAAATACTTTGATAAAGATGGGGTACATCTAAATTATGATGGACAATTTAAATTCTTCTGTTCTATTCGCATATGTGCAAAACTGTACTTGTAAAGTGTAAAATTATGTGCAATCAATTATTTAATAACTAAATATAGATATATATATATATACATCAATAAGTCTTTTTATTATTGTTTATGTAACCTACGACTCATATTGTTATTATATATTGATATAAGGTTACAAAACGTCTCGGTACGAAACGACCTAGTAAGTTACGAAACGACCAGGTTACGAAACGGCCTGCACCCAACTATTTGGACTAAGAAAAAGGAAAATGGTAAAAATAACAAGACAATAAAATAAAAGATCTATCCAAATTAACCTTCTGGAGCTCATCTGCGTTGTATTGACCTGATAACACTAATTTTATGTAACAGGTACATGTGAGCCTACCCGAAAATTTATTTTTCCTGAAAGAAAAAACTCACTCTTCCTTATATTTATAAAGAGGAAGAGTTCGTTGGGGTTGATATTTGATACTATATGCAAAAATGTCGACTTGACTGCTGGTGCACTATCTGTGTAAATAATTTGGCGACAAATAAATCCTACGTGTTCCTGTTTTGCTTGTGTCGTTCATCCAATCAATTACCTTTAAACTTCACATAGGAAATGTCAGTCTATTTTACTTCATTTTTATCATTTTGATAACTTCCGGATTCACTTGACCAAAGAGGGCGCTGTCAACAAAAGCAAATGACTGGTTTCCTGCTGCTTTGCACTTATCTTCCCCAAGCTTCGATTAGCAGGTATTCAGTTTATTTTCCATTTGAAAAACTAATTCCCCACCATATTCCGAAGAGCAACGATTACCGTATTTGTACTAAAGCAAATGAGATTGCGCTTAAAAATTACAAAATTGATCATGCCTTCTTCATTTATTCATTACTCATTCTAATTAGGAACACCAAGTTTTTCACATGTGCAAACCGTCGATAAATTAAAGTGACAAGCAAAAAAAAAAAAAAAAACCCCAATAAAAACCCATAAAAAACAAAATAGAAAAAAAATCTATAGTCAAGTAGTAAGTCAATGTCCTATCGTTTTCTTATTTTATTTTCAATATGTTTTTTGTTGGCTAAACATGACATGTTAACTGCGCAGATAACGTTATATATAGTAAGATGAATACAATAATACTAGTACTTGTCGACATAGTTTAACAGAGAGCATACAACTGAATTATCTGTGTTATCTGATTATATCTTAATTATTATCAAAATGGTAATAGTAATCACAAATGTATATGTTCAATATATTATCGTCAAAGGATTAAAAGTTTTACCAAACCGACCGACCATTTCACAAAACAAAATGAGGTAATTTGACCAACTCCACTAAAGGTAATATTATATTACTACAATGCTTTTAAACTTACATTATATGTACAAGCTTTGCACCTGAAATCGTCGTAGTAATTTCGGCTGAACTGCATCTTCATACGTGTTCAGTCAGTAAATTGTGCATGATTTAGAACTAGTAAAAAGATCCGGTAATTGTCAACAATATGGGTGATATATATATATTGGTACTCAAGCCATGTTATAATAAACCAATTAACCCGAGGAGCCGAGATCGTTCATTTAACATCAACTCTTTTCTTCCTTTAAAATACAAAGTGATAATTTGTGTCAAGTTTACTACAAATCAATACAATTTTAAAAAGTAAACCCTTTTTATACTACATCGGTAAAGTTTTCGGTTTTATTTTCCCGTATTTAAAAGTTAAAAAAAAGACAATGAAGACCGGCATTTTATTTTAGAAAGGGCCACCAATCCCTCATCCATTCCCAATGTATTACTTGAATCTGTAAAGCGGTTTTCGAGAAGAAGCTCAAACAGTGTTTTGATACAAATCAAATTGGAGGAACTGAGGGAATTGCACGACCTCCAAAAGTAGCAAGACTGGATGCGTCGACAGTAAGCGTCTCCAGCTATACATGCATCGCCCGACATGCGAATCCACAGTCAGTCAAAATATCACTATCAAGAATAGTGAACAATCGGTAAAATCAGATATTGGAACCAAAGTAAATCACACAGAATCTATTGTTAACTGCTCTATATATACCTTAGTTAACTAGCACTTTATAAATCGGACCCAACGTTTTGGTCTAGTTAATTTAAAAAAAATGTAACTGAAATTTGGTATCTTTTTTAATATCTCACTTTTTTATCAGTAGCAGAATGGACATTCAAAAAGAATCATTAGTAAAGAATGACGAAAACCAAGCTGTGTATGATTCGGCTAATGCTCATCAAGAAGTATCCATTGTTGTTAAAGACGATGGAACGCCAAATGTCGCTGTTGTCAACAAAACAAATACACAAACACAGGAGACGAAGGTTTACAAACGACGCTGGTATGTTTTGTTTGTTTTCTCTTTCGTTGCTATGATGCAAGGAGGACTATGGAATACGTGGGGACCGATTGCCGCTTCCAGCGAAGAAGCTTTTGATTGGACCGATGGTGATATAGCCCTGTATGCTAATTGGGGACCTATTGCTTATTTGATTGCAACATTTCCATTTGCCTGGCTGATTGACACGAAAGGTATTTATTTCAGTGCGCTGGATCTCACATTTTTAGAAATAACTATGAAATTTGGATTATTTCAATTTATAATATTAACGTCTGTCTTATTGGGACTCACTACATGGGCGGATGGGACAACTATAAAGTAACAACAACCCAGTATAAGAAGCGCCTCACAATAGACTATTACTTGTATCTTGTATCTTGTCTTGGGGAGGGATAAATCCTACTTTGTAAAGAATCACTCTGATTAAAACAAAAAATTCTCTGAAACTGACATTATCAAGATGCTTGATTTCTTGATTGACAACATATTTGTTACGTTTGGAGGACGTGTTTTTCAACAGACTGTCTGAATTCCAATGGAAACCAATTGTGCCCTCTTCTTGCCGACTTGTTTCTTTATTATTATGAGGCTGACTTCATACAGGAACTTCTTAGGAAGAAAGATAAGAAGTTAGCAATATCCTTTAACTTTACGTTCCGCTATATAGATGATGTTCTCTCACAAAATAATACAAAATTTGGTGACTATGTTGAACGAATCTATCCCATCGATCGAACTAGAGAAAAAGGATACTACAGATACAGTTAAGTCTGCCTCATATCTTGACTTACATCTAGAAATTGACAATGAGGGTCGGTTGGAAACAAAACTTTACGACAAAAGAGATGATTTCAGCTTCCCAATTGTGAACTTTCCATTTCTATGTAGCAACATTCCAGCAGCGCCTGCATACGGAGTATATATCTCCCAGATACGATATTCCCGGGCTTGTATTTCCTATCATGATTTCCTTGATAGAGGATTGCTGCTCACAAGGAAGCTATTAAACCAAGAGTTCCAAATGGTGAAGTTGAAATCATCCCTTCGTAAATTTTACGGATGCCATCACGAGTTGGTTGACCGTTATGGAATAACCGTTTCACAGATGATATCGGATATGTTCCTTATGTCGTAACTACAATACCCTTCCCTTTTCACGAATGTGACCTACCGAATTAGACTATTTACCGGATTTGTAATAACATAAGCAACACGACGGGTGCCACATGTGGAGCAGGATCTGCTTACCCTTCCGGAGCACCTGAGATAACCCCCAGTTTTTGGTGGGGTTCGTGTTGCCTAGTCTTTAGTTTTCTATGTTGTGTCGTCTGTACTATTGTTTGTCTGTTTGTCTTTTTATTTTTGGCCATGGCGTTGTCAGTTTGTTTTCGATCTATGAGTTTGACTGTCCCTCTGGTATCTTTCGTCCCTCTTTTACTTTTATCAATCGTTTGTTATCTAAAGAATACTCATCTCTTTAGTCAATTCTGAAGCCAAAATATACGTGAATCCATGATCTAAAACGTAAAGTAAACGAGTTTGTTGAACATAATTAGAGAGTCGAAAAAGAAATTGCCCAGAACTTGGTCAATAAGAGTGCACACGTTGAAATATCTCGCCTGCTTTACTGACCATTGATTTTAGGTTGATAGTCCTAAATATAACGTTTTACTACAAGTATCACATTAACGTAACATGATCGAAGAAAATGAGGTCAAGGTCAGATAAACCAAGCCAGAAATACATGTACACCTTACAATCATTCCATACACCAAATATAGTGGTCCTATTGATTATACTGTACAAGTAACAGACCAAACCATGAAAACTTTATATTGACCAATGAACCATGAAATTGAGGTCAAGGTCAGATGAACCCTTCCAGACAGACATGTACACCTTACAATCATTCCATGCATCAAATATAGTCGATCTATTGCATAGAGTATCTAAAAAACAAACTTAATCAGGAAAACCTAACATTGACAAATGAACCATGAAAATGAGGTCAAGGTCAGATGATACCTGCAAGACAGACATAAACACCTTCCAATCATTCTAAATATACACCAAATATAGTTGACATATTGCCTATAAATTAATATAGATATATATATATAAATAAGAAAAACAGACCAATACACAAAAACTTAACATTGAGCAGTGATCCGTGAAAATGAGGTCAAGGTAAAATAAAACCTGCCAGACTGACATGTACATCGTAAAATATTCCCATACACCAAAATAGTTGACCTATTGTATACAGTATAAACACAAAAACTTAACTTTAACCACTGAACCATGAAAATGAGGTCAAGCAGTTGGACATGTACACCTTACAATCATTCCATACATCAAATATAGTCGATCTATTGCATAGAGTATCTAAAAAACAAACTTAATCAGGAAAACCTAACATTGACAAATGAACCATGAAAATGAGGTCAAGGTCAGATGATACCTGCAAGACAGACATAAACACCTTCCAATCATTCTAAATATACACCAAATATAGTTGACATATTGCCTATAAATTAATATAGATATATATATATAAATAAGAAAAACAGACCAATACACAAAAACTTAACATTGAGCAGTGATCCGTGAAAATGAGGTCAAGGTAAAATAAAACCTGCCAGACTGACATGTACATCGTAAAATATTCCCATACACCAAAATAGTTGACCTATTGTATACAGTATAAACACAAAAACTTAACTATAACCACTGAACCATGAAAATGAGGTCAATCAGTTGGACATGTACACCTTACAATCATTCCATACATCAAATATAGTAGACCTGTTGCTTATAGTATCTGAGATATGGACTTGACCATGGAAACTTAACCTTGTTGTTTACTGATCCGTGAAATGAGGTCGAGGTCAAGTGAAAACTGTCTGACATGTATGAGGACCTTGAAAGGTACGCATATACCAAATATAGTTATCCGATTACTCATAATAAGTGAGAAATAAACATTACAAAAAAATTAACTTTATTTCAAGTAGTCACTGAACCATGAAAATGAGGTTAAAGACAATGGCCATATGACAGACGGAAACTTCACAACATAAGGCATCTATATACAAATTATGAAGCATCCAGGTCTTCTACCTTCTTAAATATTAAGCTTTTAGCTAGTTAGTTAACGCCGCCGCATGGAGTGTACAATGACACTACAATTGAAAAAAAAAATGAGAGGCCAAATTAGAAATCATACATACACCATGTAATTATAATTTTGTTAGACAGCTCTACATAAATTGGTCTGTTACAGGGCTAAGATCTGCCACATTGATATTGGTCTATAACAAGGCT